GGGGCTCTGAATTGAGTGTCCTGCGGGGGGGCTCTGAATGAGTGTCCTGGGGGGGGCTCTGAATGAGTGTCCTGGGGGGGCTCTGAATGAGTGTCCTGGGGGGGGGGCTCTGAATGAGTGTCCGGGGGGGGCTCTGAATGAGTGTCCTGGGGGGGCTCTGAATGAGTGTCCTGGGGGGGGCTCTGAATGAGTGTCCTGGGGGGGGGGCTCTGAATGAGTGTCCTGGGGGGGGCTCTGAATGAGTGTCCTGGGGGGGCTCTGAATGAGTGTCCTGGGGGGGGCTCTGAATGAGTGTCCTGGGGGGGGGGGCTCTGAATGAGTGTCCTGGGGAGGGCTCTGAATGAGTGTCCTTGGGGGGGCTCTGAATGAGTGTCCTGGGGGGGCTTCTGAATGAGTGTCCTGGGGGGGGCTCTGAATGAGTGTCCTGGGGGGGGCTCTGAATGAGTCTCCTGGGGGGGGCTCTATGAGTATCCTGGGGGGGGGGGCTCTGAATGAGTGTCCTGGGGGGGGCTCTGAATGAGTGTCCTGGGGGGGGGCTCTGAATGAGTGTCCTGGGGGGGGGCTCTGAATGAGTGTCCTGGGGGGGGCTCTGAATGAGTGTCCTGGGGGGGGGCTCTGAATGAGTGTCCTGGGGGGGCTCTGAATGAGTGTCCTGGGGGGGCTCTGAATGAGTGTCCTGGGGGGGGCTCTGAATGAGTGTCCTGGGGGGGGGCTCTGAATGAGTGTCCGTGGGGGGGGCTCTGAATGAGTGTCCTGGGGGGGGCTCTGAATGAGTGTCCTGCGGGGGGGCTCTGAATGAGTGTCCTGGGGGGGGGCTCTGAATCCGTGTCCTGGGAGGGGGCTCTGAATGAGTGTCCTGGGGGGGGGCTCTGAATGCCGTGTCCTGGGAGGGGCTCTGAATGAGTATCCTGGGGGGGGGCTCTGAATGAGTGTCCTTGGGGGGGGCTCTGAATAGTGTCCTGGGGGGGGCCTCTGAATGAGTGTCCTGGGGGGGGCTCTGAATGAGTGTCCTGGGGGGGGCTCTGAATGAGTGTCCTGGGGGGGCTCTGAATGAGTGTCCTGGGGGGGGCCTCTGAATGAGTGTCCTGGGGGGGGGCTCTGAATGAGTGTCCTGGGGGGGGGCTCTGAATGAGTGTCCTGGGGGGGGCTCTGAATGAGTGTCCTTGGGGGGGCTCTGAATGAGTGTCCTGGGGGGGGCTCTGAATGAGTGTCCTGGGGGGGGCTCTGAATGAGTGTACCTGGGGGGGGGCTCTGAAATGGTGTCCGGGGGGCTCTGAATGAGTGTCCTGGGGGGGGCTCTGAATGAGTGTCCTGGGGGGGGCTCTGAATGAGTGTCCTGGGGGGGCTCTGAATGAGTCGTCCTGGGGGGGGGGGGCTCTGAATGAGTGTCCTGGGGGGGCTCTGAATGAGTGTCCTGGGGGGGGCTTGAATGAGTGTCTCCTGGGGGGGCTCCTGAATGAGTGTCCTGGGGGGGCTCTGAATGAGTGTCCTGGGGGGGCTCTGAATGAGTGTCTGGGGGGGGCTCTGAATGAGGTGTCCTGGGGGGGCTCTGAATGAGTGTCCTGGGGGGGGCTCTGAATGAGTGTCCTGGGGGGGCGCTTGAATGGGTCTCCGGGGGGGGGGCTCTGAATGAGTGTCCTGGGGGGGGCTCTGAAATGAGTGTCCTGGGGGGGCTCTGAATGAGTGTCCTGGGGGGGGGCTCTGAATGAGTGTCCTGGGGGGGGCTCTGAATGAGTGTCCTGGGGGGGGGCTCTGAATGAGTGGCCTGGGGGGGCTCTGAATGAGTGTCTTGGGGGGGCTCTGAATGAGTGTCCTGGGGGGGGGCTCTGAATGAGTGTCCTGGGGGGGGCTCTGAATGAGTGGCCTGGGGGGGGCTCTGAATGAGTGTCCTGGGGGGGGGCTCTGAATGAGTGTCCTGGGGGGGGGCTCTGAATGAGTGTCCGGGGGGGCCTCTGAATGAGTGTCCGGGGGGGGGCTCTGAATGAGTGTCCTGCGGGGGGGCTCTGAATGAGTGTCCTGGGGGGGGGGGCTCTGAATCCGTGTCCTGGGAGGGGCTCTGAATGAGTGTCCTGGGGGGGGGGCTCTGAATGAGTGTCCTGGGAGGGGCTCTGAATGAGTATCCTGGGGGGGGCTCTGAATGAGTGTCCTTGGGGGGGGCTCTGAATTAGTGTCCTGGGGGGGCTCTGAATGAGTGTCCTGGGGGGGGCTCTGAATGAGTGTCCTGGGGGGGGCTCTGAATGAGTGTCCTGGGGGGGCTCTGAATGAGTGTCCTGGGGGGGCCTCTGAATGAGTGTCCTGGGGGGGGCTCTGAATGAGTGTCCTGGGGGGGGGCTCTGAATGAGTGTCCTGGGGGGGGGCTCTGAATGAGTGTCCTGGGGGGGCTCTGAATGAGTGTCCTGGGGGGGCTCTGAATGAGTGTCCTGGGGGGGGGCTCTGAATGAGTGTCCTGGGGGGGCTCTGAATGAGTGTCCTGGGGGGGCTCTGAATGAGTGTCCTGGGGGGGGCTCTGAATGAGTCCTGGGGGGGGGCTCTGAATGAGTGTCCTGGGGGGGGCTCTGAATGAGTGGCCTGGGGGGGGCTCTGAATGAGTGTCCTGGGGGGGCCCTGAATGAGTGTCCTGGGGGGGGGCTCTGAATGAGTGTCCTGGGGGGGGCTCTGAATGAGTGTCCTGGGGGGGGCTCTGAATGAGTGTCCTGGGGGGGCACTGAATGAGTGTCCTGTGGGGGGGGGCTCTGAATGAGTGTCCTGGGGGGGGCTCTGAATGAGTGTCTTGGGGGGGGCTCTGAATGAGTGTCCCTGGGGGGGGCTCTGAATGAGTGTCCTGGGGGGGGCTCTGAATGAGTGTCCTGGGGGGGAGCTCTGAATGAGTTTCCTGGGGGGGGCTCTGAATAGTGTCCTGGGGGGGGGGGCTCTGAATGAGTGTCCTGGGGGGGGCTCTGAATGAGTGTCCTGGGGGGGGGGCTCTGAATGAGTGTCCTGGAGGGGGCTCTGAATGAGTGTCCTGGGGGGGCTCTGAATGAGTGTCCTGGGGGGGGTCTGAATGAGTGTCCTGGGGGGGGGGCTCTGAATAAGTGTCCTGGGGGGGTTCTGAATGAGTGTCCTGGGGGGGCTCTGAATGAGTGTCCTGGGGGGGCTCTGAATGAGTGTCCAGGGGGGGCTCTGAATGAGTGTCCAGGGGGGGCTCTGAATGAGTGTCCTGGGGGGGGCTCTGAATGAGTGTCCTGGGGGGGCTCTGAATGAGTGACCTGGGGGGGGCTTTGAATAAGTGTCCTGGGGGGGGGCTCTGAATGGGTGTCCTGGGGGGGTCTCTGAATGAGTTTCCTGGGGGGGGCTCTGAATGAGTGTCCTGGGGGGGGCTCTGAATGAGTGTCTTGGGGGGGGCTCTGAATGAGTGTCTTGGGGGGGGCTCTGAATGAGTGTCCTGGGCGGGGCTCTGAATGAGTGTCCTGGGGGAGAGCTCTGAATGAGTGTCCTGGGGGGGGGGCTCTGAATGAGTGTCCTGGGGGGCTCTGAATGCGTGTCCTGGGGGGGGCTCTGAATGAGTGTCCAGGGGGGGCTCTGAATGAGTGTCCTGGGGGGGGCTCTGAATGAGTGTCCTGGGGGGGGCTCTGAATGAGTGTCCTGGGGGGGGCTCTGAATGAGTGTCCTGGGGGGGACTCTGAATGAGTGTCCTGGGGGGGGCTCTGAATGAGTGTCCTGGGGGGCTCTGAATGAGTGTCCTGGGGGGGGGCTCTGAATGAGTGTCCTGGGGGGGGCTCTGAATGAGTGTCCTGGGGGGGGCTCTGAATGAGTGTCCTGGGGGGGGGGCTCTGAATGAGTGTCCAGGGGGGCGGGGGTGGTTGGAGGGGCTCAATGCCGGCTGCGATCTTGCGTTTGCGACCGTGCAGTCACCTGGGAATTCAGCCCAGGTTCTCAAGCCACCACGGCAACGATTAAACGAAAAAAATAACCCACCTGATGAAAAGATGATTGGGAAGCCCGTCCACATTCAATGGCTCCCCCACCCCCACACATGACCCCTCTCAAACGGTACATGCTTATCAATTTTATCATTTTGAAGTGTGGCCGAAGCCACATGTTAGGTTATTGTAAATAATAAAACAGAGAAACCACACCTAGGCCAATAAACAAAATATCCGGATGAATTATCGAGTAAAAGATTCATATTCTTGGTTCTTTCGGTAAAGTCACGTAGAAGGGAAACAATATATTTTTATTATTTTATTGTTTCCCTTCTACGTGACTTTACCGAAGGAACCAAGAATATGAATCCCTGCAAGTCACGAAAGCTTTAAATCAAAGAGTAAAAGATTATTTATATTTCAGTATTTTTGCTCTCGTTGCCATGAAGAACATATTTCGAGCTTCCGAATTACTCATCATTTAAAATTTGGTGGAGTGGTCTCAAAGTCCTCTAGCCATACATGCACACAGGCTGGTCACTTATTATGGAGATTGCTCTGCATCTAATTTGTTCGGCGAATACACAGAGAGAGCGACGAACTCGTCTGTACATCGAAATAGTGATGTCGGTGTGATGTGGTTAAATAGACCCCTTCATGGATATTGAGCGAAGGGCCTGTGGCATTTCGCAGCCGATTCACTCCCCAATGCGACTCATGGCCTGCTTGTCGTAAGATTTTCCAGAAATTAAGATTGCTTTTCTCCCATGGCTGCCACAAGGTAGTACAAGTGAACGAGCTAGCAAGACGGTCTATTAAGTGAGCCTCCCTTCCATTCGGAACGCATCCATACATTTGTCCTCGAGCGAACAAATGGATGGACAGAAGAGTAGATGGACGGACACACAAATAGGACGGACGTATTTCCCCGCCATTGCAATTACCAGAATATCGGCTCCCTATCTTTAAAACAAATGCCAGGGTCGGTTGCCGGAACGGGGTGCACATGACCGCATCTCGAGACGACACGAGGCGTGCGCGTTCTCTTCCGCCGTTGATCCGAGTACCCGTGATGCCACCCGCCTCCTCGTCCCGCAGAGCTGCCTGAGGATGGAGCCGACGGCAAGGCTGAGCTGCGAGGCGCTGCTACAGCACGCGTACTTCTACGCGTTCCGGGAGGGTGACGGGGGTGGCGGCGTGGGAAGCCGCGAGCCCGATCGGGGCGAGCGCAGGCACGACAAGCGTGGACGCAAGCGCCTCCCCGCGGTACGAACCGCGGCCGCGTGCGCTTCTCCCGGCAGCCATTTCTGTCGCTCAGATTTTCACCAACTTTTTTTGTTTTGTTTTTTGTAAGGCGGCCGGGTGGCGAGGCTCCGATGTCAGATAAGGGTTGCCGCGTCTAAGGTGCAAGCGCAACAGAATATCTCGCAATCCGTCCGTTTGTCCAACTGTCTGTCAATCCATTTGTCTATCGATCTATTTGTCTGTCCATCTGTTGATACACGCATACATTCATCCATCCATTCATTTCTCTGTCTGTTGCTCCATCCATTCGTCCATTTACCTGCCCATCTGGTAATTCATCCAACCATCCACCCATCAATCCATTCCTCTACATATCTATCCATCGATTCATCCATAACACCCATCGATTTGTCCTTCTCTCCGCCCAATCCATACACTCGTGCCGCCCGTCTGTCCGGCCATCCATCCGTCTACATTTCCTCCAATCGTTGAAGCGGGGGCGCGTGGTCCCGTTTGCCGACAGATGCTGCTGCTGCCGCAGCTGATCGGCAACAGCAACTCGCCGGCCCCGGAGGTCCGGAGGTACGTGCGCAACAAGCACGACCACCACCTGCCCACCATCTGACGGCGCGGGGCCACTGGAGCGTGCCGTCGTGGAGCTGCGGCGGAGGCGCTACCGAGCCCCTTTGTTTTCCCGTTTTTTTAATTTTTTTTTATATATTTTTAATTACGTTACTTTATAAATAACTCATGAGCCATCTGCCACAGTCTTGCATTCTCCGTTCGGTTTAGGAATAAAAAGTCAACGAGGGTGGTGTGAATGTGTATGCAAAATCGAAATAAAATTAAAAGGGAATGAAACCGTAGGGTGCGGGGGGACGGGGGTGCTAGCAGATGTCTGAAATCTGCACGCCGAGTGCTGGGAGATGGGCAGGGTGCCTGGGCCTCGGGGGGGGGGGTGGCGACTGTGATTGGATTCTCCTTGAGCGCTGGGGAGCAGGAATCATATCGCAGTTATGATTGCAGCGTGCACGCCCGCGGTGGGCCGCGAGTCGGTTTCCACTGCAGTCCGCACAGGATCACTGTGGGTATTTTTATTCTTATTTGCCGCTCCTTTCCCGCACCCTTAACTTATTTATGCATTCCTTTTCAGCATTAGCACGGCTGGCTACGTACGGTGCGAAAGCAGTTCAACATACATACATACATTAGGTGCGTGCCTCGATTGCTCGACACCTCTCTCTCTCTGATGTTTCTCCTCCTTAAAAACACTCCCGAACTGCCCCTATCTGCAGCTTTCTCCTTCCCTACCCTAAATCAATGACAGTTACATTTATAAATATATACGATTGCGTTCCCAGCAACAAAATGTGCCACCACCGACGTACATGATTCTATGGATACCTGACAGTATCTTTGTTGACGATCATCATCACCATCATCATCAGCGGCAATGCTCTATCCACTGCTGGATGAATGCCTCCCCAAGCCGTCGCCATCTCTCGTCTAGGTCCTGCACGTTATCTGAGCTTCTCGCTTCATCTCCGAGGCGGATGACCTCCTGGGCGTGTTTCCTCCTTTAGCTGAAACTTCATTATTCGTGACAACCACCGGGCATCGTCCCTTACAAAAACGTGTCCACCCGAAGCTGATAGCATCCGTAAATGATCATGACGATGATGTTGTTGATGACGATAACCGTGATAAAGGTGGTGGCATGATTATGGGATTAACATGACGACAATAGTAACTGTGATGGTGAGTAGTCTATATACAATTTGTCTTTGTAGGCTTTTATGCATTAAACATGCATATATGATTGAAAGCTGTATTGCAAACTGCCAGGATGCTCAAATTTTAAGCAGCTGTTGCTGTTTAAAAAGTCGAATCTCACAATGGGGTAAAACTAGGGCGGCTACATCTTATCCTTGACACCATTACCTGCGACTCCTATTATCCGTGGCAGCTGTGAGGTTCACAGACACTCCTATTAGCCAAGATCCTATTCTTTCTATTATTCGCGATTCATGTGTGGATTTGCCCATTCCTGATTTGCGAAACGGCTTCCTGTGTGTGGAATTTTCCCGGACAAGAAGTCACGCGGTAAAATACATCCTATTCTCTGCGAGTGGCCATGCTTTTCACCGCACAGGATAAGCGACACAAATTGTACGGAAGCCCCGCAGGTCTGCCATATCGGTTTCCCTCCGTGGGAGGAGTTAAGAGGAGTTGTAGGTGCAAAAATAGAAAATGAGATTCCGAGTTGCTCAAGTTGTCCGATGACGTGCCGGCTTTTAATTTCATCTCCCGTGCAACACGCACACCGCTGTCTGCTCTCGCCAGTGCCGGCGATACAATCGCAATTCGAGTACCTTCCATTGCACCTGCCACGGAGCTTACGATTGTCTGCGCACATTTGCGTCTCAGCGGTTTTTCATGAACCCCTTGTCTCCTCAGACGGCGGCCTCCCCTCTGTCCATGCAACAATACGCCTGCTTATAGATTTGAAGTTTTCGTGACTGCAAGGATTCATACTCTTTGGTTTTTTCGGTAAAGTCACGTAGGTAAAAAATAAAATAAATGAAAACAACGAAATGAAATCACGACGTTTCGGAGGCAACACGAGCTTCAAAAGAACTGTAGAGAGCTACAGTTATTTTGCTGTGCCTTTTTTTTTACACCTGATGAAGGAAGCTTGTGTTGCCTCCGAAACGTCGTGAGTTAATTTAGTTGTTTTCATTTATTTTAATTTTATTTTTTACCTACGTGACTTTACCGAAAAAACCAAAGAGTATGAATACGCCTGCTGCCATAGACAGCGGGGGAGAATATTCCTTTGGGAGACTGAAATACGTTTTTGTGGGGGGCAGTGGACGGGGGGGGGGGGCGATGACGACGACTGAAATATGTTTTAACTAAGCATTTTTGTGTTTGAATTAAATAAATGTTAAAAATATATATTTTGAAAAGTGACGTCCGAAAACTGGCAGAGCCCCTAGGTAGCCCGGGGCGCCAAAGGGTGGCGCGGGGTCCCCAGCGGTGACCTTGCACTCTGTCCACTTTGGACACGAGTTGTCGAGATATTTTTCAAATTGCACGGCATCACCAAATCCGTTCGCACGGCACGCGCTCTGCTAGTGGTGCGACCTTGCACCCTCTCGCCTGGGCTGTCGTCCACAGGGGGTCCCGCTTGTGCATGGCTGCGTTTGAATGCAAACTGCTAAATAGGTTCGAGGGGCCAAGCCCCGATTGGATGAACCGCACCACCGGCTGTGCTTGCTACAGAAACATCAAATGCTCCATCAAGTTAGCCCCTGCACTAATTGTCATTTTTTTTGGCGCAAATAATTCCCCTACCCTGAATAATCACCCCCCTCACCAAAATCGTTAATTTCACTCAATTTAGATTGATTATATGAAGACACCAGACCTTAACAAGCTCCCCAACTGTGTTGTTATCCATGATCCCCAACACGGAATCTTGTTCGATGAAGAACTTGAATGTGCTGCTTCTGCTGCTGCTAACAAATTGTGTCATTCCCACGAGTGGAAGGACATTGCTGCATTCATGTTCAGCTCTTGGTGTATCAGTGCTGGGGTCTTGGCGACCCGACAAATCAAGCCCCATGCATACCGTGGAATGTGAAGTTCGGATGAGATTCCCACGCCAGGTGCATTTACTTACGTGGAATGATTGCCCAATTGGCCAAAACAGACTATTTACTTTTTATTTTACCAGGTCAGGCCCACTGAGCTATATAGCTCTTTTTCAGAAGCGACCTGCCACAAATAATAGCTCAACGAAGTGGCTTATCACGTGCAAATGTATAGCAGCCAAATACTCTAAACTCATGTTTCTACATGTGGAGTGAAACAACAGAGGAGCCGGAGAAAAATCCTCGCAACCACCGGGAGAGAGAGTACAGCCAAAGTCCAAATATACAACAGGCACCAGGAGTTGGGATCGAACCCAGGAACTCCTGTGTACCAGGCAAGGTAGTTAACATCTCGCCACCGTGGCGCCCATTTAACATCGTTGATGTGGCCATGCTGGAGAATGAGAGGGAATCACTCGGTCACCGATGTTACTGATTGCAGAATAACAAAACTAAAACGAAACCTGGTGACTGCTGAACCTCGCATCACTCTGCTCGTGTCCATGCCATGTGGAGAATGACTTGGCAAAGCCGACGACATTGAGACGTTTAAGTTGGCGGGCGCAAAGGGTCATCGTTTTTAATGACTCCTGCGTGCCACTCATGGCGCACGCCGTTCTGGTCGATATCGACGGCGAGGCAGCCTTCAAGTAAAATCGCAGTACCACCGTCCCCTTGTTGAGGAGACCTTCACGGGCTCCTGTGTTTTTGTTAAATACCCTAACATGTCCGAAGCACTGTAAGCAAACTTCATTCAATGGGAGACTTTTATACATTTATAAGCCTAAGCATTTTAAACACTCCTCCGAGACCTACACACACCCTTATATATAAACTGGGCTTGTCTGTGCTTTTATCTTTTAACTAGTGTAATTAAATTTAGTGCAGTGGTAGTAATATATACCGTGATGCATAGTTGTAATATTTTTCAAAAATATTTTGATATAAATGACATGTTCTGATATATAATGTAATAACATTTGACCAGCGCATTTCAAAAATTTTGCGTGCTTACATTGAGTTATTATTGTGTACATACGCTGTTATCATAACTCCTGTTTGTTTAAAGTACCTGGATGATGAATTGTGTGCATAATAAACGTGTCTTTTTTGTTTTTTTTTTGTCTGATGCAGCGTGTTCTTTTGCAGCGTGGAAATATGAGGTTAATTTGATTTTATTTTCAATTTTCAAGCTCAATCCAAGTCCAAACCCTATTATATTATCACCGGTATGAAATCCAGTTTCAATTTAAATCTCTGAGAAATAATCACATTGATCAGACAATGTGTTCTAATGCATTTAGATTGTTATTAATGTATATAGGAGTAAAATAACCTTCATATTCAACTTGACACACCAATGTAATACAACATTTTAAACAGGCAATACAAAATCATCTATAAATCCTATCGGCAAGTGTGAGGAATCAATGTGATTGGCTACTGATGCCTCTATATGCAGTGTGAGTGTAATATGATTGGCCAATGGTGCCTATAAAGGCAGTGTGAGAGATCAATGTGATTGGCCAATGGATGCCTGTACTGTATAGACAGTGTGAGGTCTGTGTGTTAGGTTACTGATGTCTCTGTAGACCGCGCCTGTGAAAGTTGCAGGAACCCTAGCATCAGTCCCTGATGCAGGTTGCCCTGCTGCCGTGTGGGACAGCCACAGCCGCGAGACTTGTAGGGCACAGACCAGTGGCGTAGCGTGGCTGGCACGGGCCCTGGTGCAAGCAGTGAAATGATCGATGTTCCCTGTCCAACGTCGAAGCCCAGAACCTGTCTCAACCCCGACCTCCATGCCCACGAGTAGAGATGATATCACTGCCAACGATACTCACTTGACATGGTGGCCACCGCGTGGCACGGATAATCAGGATGTAAACATACGCCCCTCTATGATTGGTACTTAACGGGCCTGAAAGGGGATTAGTTAGAGGCAGAGACATTGATGAAGGGATTGAAGGAGAAATTCAAATGGAGAAAAAGAGTGGGGGAACGGAGGATGATTGACAGGGAAGTCGGTTGGAATTCGTTCGGGAAAGTGGAAGGTGATTTGGCTGGAGGGGAAGTGGGTCAAGGAACCTTCGAGAAAGAAGCATTGATGGATATTCATGGTGGTGCTTCAACAAAAAAAATGTGAACACTTCTGAGAATTTGCAACAATACCACGTGACATGTGCTGCTGCCTCTGGGCTCTGGAGACCACCTGGAGAAGATTCCAGGCCACGTGTTGACAATGATGGCGAACAGGTGGTGACTGACATTTTTTAAGCTATTAACACGCATTTGTGATCATGTTACAGTGTATTTATTATCCGTTCATTTTCCATGAAAAACGATAGTCCCGTATAAGCGTTAAACATTTTTTAAGCGCCCTGTATAAGTGGTGGGGATGGGGGTGGGGGACTCGAGAGGTCGACACGCGTGGAGTGAAGGGACTCCTTGTAGACCGTGCGTCTCGTGCCCGAGGAAATGAAGACTCCGCTTTGTTGAAGACTGCCGTGTCGGGCGTGTCGCTGCACACGTGGCCCGGGAGCAGTTGCACCGACTGCGTTCTCTTGAGCCACGCCACTGCGTGTGCGAGTCAACTGGACTCAGGGTGGAAATTTCCATTTCGTTGTTGCCGAGAAGTTGGTTATGTAAATATAGATATCTGCAGCACCATGCCAAATATGGTTTCAACCATTCGGGTATTGAAGTGCCTTCTACATGGAGAGAAAATGTCCCCTCTTGTGAGAACCCCAGTGAGGCTTCGCTGTTTTGCAAAGCAGGCATGGAGGAGCTGACGAATGTAGTTGAATAAAAACTACTTTTATTACAATTTAACCTAAATGTTCACGTATGGGAACCGAGCACATTACACGTTTCCATTGGCATATACAATTATGCAACTTACATTATCCGATCATAATTACGGTAATTGAGCGAACAAATTATAATGTAACTTACATAACCATAATGGTCCAATAAGCTTAATGATCTGAGCCATTACATTTCGCACGCATAATGAGATGGTCGTTCAAGGCAGTCATTCACACACACCTTACACAAGCATAATTGTGCCTCGTTAGTTGAGCCAGCGGTTTCGTGTTCAAATGAACCTGGGCAGACGGGTCATCTTCAGCTACACGTCCGCACCGCCGATGTTAAACGCTGTGACATTCTTCCCCTACATCACACCGTGGCGGTGGTGCTGCCGTAGCAGTCATAGAGGCACGTGGGTTCATCACGTCACAACCTCATCAGGTGGCTGTGTCGGGTGGATGAAGGGTTTACGACACACGTTTTTTACGCACGCGATCTGACCCCCCACCCAACAAAATCAGCCATGGATCGTGCTCATCTTCTGTTTCGAGCCCGAAATGTAGACCTGGGTGGATTTTTGGATCACGTTTTTTTTTCTTCTCAAACCAAAATGAGTCACCATATTTTCCGGATTGTAAGACGCGCTTTGCCGCTCTGCCTCCCCCATATTTCGAAGCAACAGTCGAAGGTGCGCCTTATAATCCGGTCGGTATGTGTGATCAGGCTTGTACAGACATTGAGGCAAGTTTGGGGCGTGTTTCACTTTCTGGTGCGTCTTATAATCCAGAGAATACCATAAATACAGGACACTTGCAGTAAACCAATCACAACGGTGGTAAACACGGGAAATGATATCCCAAAACCTGAGAACCTCAAATTAACCGTTATATTAAGCAGCAAAGGCAATCTACCAGTGGAGCATACCTTTTAGGAGTAGAGTGATGAAAACTCCACATTCATATGACCGGAGCGAATTCTTAGCCTCACGATGATTTAGGCGCAGTAAGAGGTCAGTTGAAAAGCGCCATTGCCAGAATCACTGGGAATGCACCCATATTTGTTCTTACAGTATTTCCGAAGCTCTGCAGGTTTCGGCCTGGACAGTGCTTGGTGAGGTGTATGCAGAACAGCTGTTGCAGGCTAATTCGGGGCCACGTTGTAAGCAGAGGGCATTGCAGCAAGATCCATTGTCGTGCTCAAATATGTTCCAACCTTTGTACTCCCCACTTTCACCAACCAGCACTGAGTGACCAGCGTGGTGAAGTATAGTCAAACAACCACCACGGGCAAGGGCAGCGTGGGGAGATAATCGCCCAGCAGTGGATTTAAACACGTCTAGAACGGTGCGTGGCCAGAGGTGATTTTGTCGTTGTTAAATTTCGAGACACACAAACCAACAAATCAGTTGGGTGCAGCGGAAGGGGCTGGAACAACGCAGGTCGGCAACGTTAGCGCGGACTCTGCTGTCCTCTTGCGGCGGCGGCGCGTGGGGTTTTGACGTCTCCGAAACGGAAGGTGAAATTGCGGAAATGGTTCTGACGACAGCCAAGTGGTTAACAGGAAGAAACGCGTGGGCCCCCCGCGACTCGCGAGCGAGCACGGCCGCGGTTAAAGTTGTACTCGTTGTGTTGCTACGGCACAGCGATCATACTCGCTCGTGTTCAGTGAGCAGAAGTGTGTGGCCCGAACCTGGAGGCACTGTCCACAGCCGCCGTGGTGCTGAAGCGTTGTTCCCTGGAAGCCTCTCGTCTTAAATCCCAGTTGCCACATGGAAGGCGGAGAGGCGTGAGTGTTGTTGACTCGCAACACGCGCACTGCATGCACCATCATGAGCAGCTGTGGTCAATCCACTGCTGGATTAAGGACTTCTCCCGAGGCCGCCGCCACATCTCACCATCGCGCCTTGCAATAATCCGCCTAGCACCTTCACACGAGCTGATGTCATCGTTCCGTCTCTGCGGTGGACGTGTTTGATCGGACACGGTCATGGCCTTGGCTAACATTTCGTTATTATAAACTAAAACTATTAAAATATATTTTTATTTTACCAGATTAGGGCCACTTAGCTCCTTTTCAGGAACGGCCTGGTCACAATAGCTAAATGCAGTGGCTTATGTAAAAATGTATATGAGCCAAATGTTATAAACGCATGTTTGTAAATGTGGAGGGAAAACCAGAGAACATGCACACTCCAAATATACAGCAGGCGCCAGGGTCTGGATCGAACCCATGACCTCTTGTATCCCTGGCGAGGTAGTTAACATCTGGCCAACGTGGCGCCCCTTATTATTGACCATAGGCCATCATCCCAGCGACGTGCCCTGCCCACGCCCTACTTATCTTACGCCATTCTGCACTTTGCGCATGTGATGCACCATACTGTGTTTACGGTGTTTCGCATATACACGGGACACACACGTGTACACGCCCAAGACATCGCTCTGCACGTGTGTAACAGACATGTACGACCTATGTACACATACAACACGTACAAGCCACGTGTACAACACGCATTGATTGCACATTGTAGCGTGATACGCTCAGCTCACTAAACAACTTGTAAAACAATACTTTTACAGGCATGCAGTTAGAGCTACATTTAACATTCATTTAAATATCTCCCATTCCGGCTTACCGAGTGACTGGGCAACTGATGTCGGCGATCACCCATCAAGGAGGCAGTACAGCGCCTACATTGACTTGAGATGGTGGGCAGAATACCACTCACGGCCGCATTTGTCTCTCCATTGCTGCTGTTATTAGTCGCATTGCAAAGAAGAAACTCCCAGGCGTTTAGTATGTTTCCACAGGCTGCGGGAACAGCATTTTGAGGTTCAGTACATAGTGTTACTTCACGTATACTGCACGCCAGCCAGTGTTTCCGTTCAGAAACTGCATCCGATCGTTCAAACCGTCTTCCCCACTGTCTTCTTGGGATAACCTCTTAATTTCCCAGTGAAATCTCTTGTTTTTTACATTACATGTCCATAACATTTGTTTTGTATCTATCTCTAATTATGCTTCAGTGTTTGTTTTGTACCTGCTGCCCTTCATACATTTGTCACATCTTGTTTGTGTCTGTCCATGCATTTTTTTACATTGTCAACAAGACGCATTTCTGTTATTTCTAGTTTACTTTGTATAATTGCTCACCATGTACACCTGTACGTCATTGAGCTGACCATATGTTCAGTAACACTGCAGTATTATAAGTATTGTATTTAGGAATGAACTGGAAGTCGAAAGAATCAAATAAAATACTTGAAAGCTGGCCAAGTGGCGTGCGCTCAGAGCAATGCGCTCGGCATGTGATTGTGTACACAGAACCGTGGAGGAAGAGGCTTCGCAATCCAAAACGTTTAAGACTTGGCAGGACAGTGCTTTTTGCAGGTATGACTCAAACGTGTTCAGTCAAAGACGTTCCACTTTCAATTGAGAAATCCTCACGATTTTTTTGCAGCAACAACGTTTATCGCTCGATGTGTGTGAGGTCTCTTGTTTCGTGTTTTAAATAGACACATGGGCGGATTGACGACGCGGTGTGGCGCGCGTTGTGTGTTCATGGATTCCTCGCCACGGCGAACGTCGGCTGTGGCGAGTGCTATCTTGAGCCGGTTATTGGACGCCACTCGCCCCTTTATCAGCCCTCACTGACCGGCGTGGTGAAGGGTGATAGAGACAACCTCCATGATAATAACATGGCCTTCAACCAGCAGTGAATTGACAATGGGCTGTAAAGTGTCAAGTGGCCATCAGGCAGTATCTCACCTCATGATGATTACTATTGTAGAATTAAATGACTTTAACTTTGCACAGACGGCAGAGGGCACTTGAGCAAGGAGTCTCCCCATACAGAGTGGACATTGGCCGACGAATTCTCACGGACAAAAATGCCCTCTTCCCACTTCTGCATCAAGGAAACGAGGTATGGTGAGCTGAGAAAGCCGTCCGGTCGTGCTGGAGCTAAGGACATTCCAAGCCCAGTGGCTGAGACAAATTAACTCCTTGAGATTCATATTTTAGGCTTGGTTGGAAGGTGGTTGAGCGTCTGCGAGCTTTAATACTCCGGTCATCCTCGCAGCAGGGGCTTTTAGCTAACCATCGAACAAAGACGGTCACTGCATTGTGTACTTTCATTTTATTTGTGATTTATTTAAATGTTATTTTATTTCTACATACGTGACTTTACCGAAAGAACCAATAAATATAGTAATTTCTGCAGTCACGAAAACTTCAATTCTAGATCTTTCAGATGAGCTTCTGCGACCGTCTGGAACGCTCTTCCTTCCGATATTAAGAAGCCCATAAAGCTATTCACTTTTAAATTTAGATCAAAAACTAATTTATTTCTAACTGTTTATGTGTGTTAAGTTTGTTGTCCTTTCCCCGCACCTCCGATTAGCATGGCTGACTACGTACGGTGCTAAAGAAGTTCAACATACATATGTAGTGACGAACTCGGAGACGATAAGACTTGGATGCACTTCTTTATTAATGAGCACCATCGGGATCAACACACTTAATATTTAGTCCGTCTGTTATCGGCGAACGCTACTCAGCCAGGACAGTTGGTAGGCTGCCTGACTAGCGGCGCTCTGAGGTGGTAAATACGGAGACCACAACGAGAAGAATGGCGACGTAGGACTTCAGCAGCACGACGGGGATCCCACTCCAACAACAGCCCCGAGGTCCCCCACAGCAGCCCCTCTTATATACTGTCACCGTGGCCTCGCTCCGCCCCGGCCACGCCCCCTTTCTGGAACCTACCAGCGGGTTCCCGGTGGGCCCCTTCTGTGACCTTTCCCCTAGATCCCCCTCTCGGGTCTATCATGGCCTGCTGACGTCAGGACTGCCGTACGCCGCAGATCCCCTTTCTGGCAGCAGCCAGCGCTATTCCACGACACAAACATCCAATGGAGTGGATGTTTAGAAGTGTCCAGTCTCGCTCGTGCTGTGCTCGTGGCGTAGAGCGAGCTGGGCCTCGAGGTGTCCTCTCTGCGGGACGACGTCGTGCGTGTGCGGATCAACGAGATGCGCCCCCTACGGCCACGGTACCAGGTCCCAGATGTCCTGGTGGGAGAGCCGGACACCCAGAGGTACCGCACCACTGTCACATTTTGAGACGCAGTGAGGCTTTCCCGCCTCGACTGGACATCCGTGAAAAAAGAGCTTCTTAGCTCATGGGATTCTTCCAGCATAAATAGAGATTCTGATTCTGAAATAGTAGACGTGTAAGGCTATAGCTACCTCCCCATTGATCCTATGAATTGCCGTGATTCATGCTTGCTGTTTGTTGCCAGAATGTACAACTTTTTACTCCTTTGGTACAATTTAGTTTGTGCCGTGAGTCTAGATTTGACAGCTTATCATTTGCTCGTAATTTACACTCATAGTTAATAATCGATTCTTACGTAATTTGTTGCCTATATTATGAGTGTAAGAATCGATTAAAAGCATTTAATTAATGCAGTATATCATAATAATAATTATATAATTATTACATACCTAGTAAAAGGGCATTGTTATTTATTGGACAGAATACCGATGCGGCATGGACGTGCACGCGCAGTGCACAGCGGTACAGACGTCGCGTACAAAACGCCCTCCCCTCTGTCACCTGTGCTTTCCCTCGGCGGAAGATGGACTGAGGAATCCGTTGACGACAAGAGAGTGACACTGGGCGCCGGGGAAGTGAGCGTAGTCATCACGGCCGCCCCCTTCCAGGCAGAAGTTCGTCTCGCTGGGCATCCGTTTGTGAGACTCAACCCGCAGGGTCTGCTGCATTTTGAGGTTCTTCAAGAGAGACCGGAACGGTATGATGAAGTGTTTCGGTGTTTGTTTGTATCGATCTGTGGTGAAGCAGTGGTACAGTGGTACACGGAGACTTTAGTCTGATTCGTGGCTCCTGATATCTGAGCTCGTTTAAACCCACCCTCCCACACCCGGTCCTTTTCCAACCTGCACCGACCGGTGTGGTGAAGCACGGTTTTGAAATATTGCTGTTATGTTCCACGTGGTGTAGGGAGGCCTCCTTCCATTGGTGGAATTGTCTGGACGTTTATTTTATTCATTATTCTTATAGGCCCACGCTCATTCTCTTTCTATGTTTTCATCCCCACTCTACGCTTGTTGATTTGGTCGACTGGTGGAATTTTCAGCAGATATGTGCCACCCGTTAATATTTCCCCTTCAGCACTGTGGTTCGTTTGTGCTCCTGATGGAAATATTTGCCCCCCGCCACTCCCACTTTATCAATGCTGTAGTGTAAAGCCAGAATGCCTTTATTGTTGTGCTATTTTATCTGACTTACAAATGGACCGTTGCATTTCTCTTCTTTTTTAAATGTGAGTTTTTACACTTTGTGTTTTTAGTGCCGTTGGGGTAAGCGGTGTGCAGACACCAGCAAATGCAAATGATGACCCAAAAGCAACGGAGGCAAGTGATGTTTGATTAACACTGATCTTACCACTATTTATTTATACTGGTAGGAACGAAGTTGTAAACTGAGTGTACCAGCCTGTCATGCTGTTCATAACTCCATGTATGTTACATGTATGTTATATGTATGTTGAACGTCTTTCGCACTGTACATAGACAATCATGCTAACCATGATGAAAAGGAGTTACAAAGATGAGCAATTCACCACACTTTACAAAAAATCGGCAATAACATTCTCTTTTCCAAAATACAAGTTTGTTTTTTTGAGAGGCCGTGGCCTGACCTGAATTAACTGATACATGAAGTGATTGGCTGCTTGTGATTGGCTGGTTGTGATTGGCTGATTGTGATTAGCTGGTTGTGATTGGCTGGTTGTGATTAGCTGGTGGTGATTGCTCGCTAAAGATACCCATTGAGGGATTGCAGAATTACAATACTGTATTCGTAAAATCTTCATTTTTATCGTGTTCTTGTTTATGTATTTAACTATGTTTATTTCATATTAAATACATGATTTATGTATTAAAGATGTATATTATATCTTCAATACTTCTTCTTTCGTATGGTAGTGTTTAGGGAATTTAAATAGATGATGAATTGATGTCGAAATTTAATATCCATTGGACTGCTTTAGGAGTATCCGCGTGGAATGATCTGATTGGGCAGTCGCTCATGACATGAGATGTCGCTGGACAGTCACAAACTGGGCTCTCGTTAATTTTCCATTCATAGAGAAAGTGTCCCCACATCTTCTATGGAGTGTGTCCGCATCCGATTCGACGAGGACCAGATCTTCCTCGATAGGTCAGATCCGGGTTGGAGGATTGTGGGATCACTGATGATGGATTTCCGCAGCAGTTCGGCGTTTGCCCAGGATTGCCTCCATTGTGCTTCGGTGGTCTTTACGTCATCGAGGCTGTTTGCATATTGCCAGAAAGGTTGTCTGGATCTGAGCCACCTGTGCGGTGGTGGCATGGAAATGTCCTTTGTTTATTGGGAGGTTTGGATTTCTGATGGCCTTGCGGTAATCCCTCGCACGCGCGCCACCGCGGCGGAGCTGCTGAGGAGCGATGTCCGTGAGGACCGGAAGCCACGGCAGCGGTGTTGCTCTCTGGCGTCCCTGAGACGATCCTCGTGGCTGCATTTCGCTGCTGTGTATCCGCCGGCTTCGCGTGCGCGCTTTTGTTTCAGGCTGGTGGCGCAATATTCTGCCGCAGAGAAGACCCAGTGTCGTGGTGGCCATCCGTGGCCTTGTTGTGTTTGCTCCCCATGTTGTTCTGGCCAGTTTGTGCACGTGAGATCAACTCGTCGTTTTGTTTGTACAGCGGTGTTCTGTTGGTGTTCACGGCAGGTGAGGCTCCTGTCGAGAGTTACACCGAGGTATTTCGAGGACTTCTCGTGCTGGACCTCTTCGCCACAGAAAGTGACGGCCGGTTTCTGGTCGGCGTTTGCATTGTTCAGGTGAAATGAGCTGACGGAAGTGTTACCTGGGTTTGGCCGGAACCTCCGGTACTTGAGGTACATTTTGAGTTTCTTGAGGTCTTCGCACAGGTCGTTTTGGACCTCAGTTTGGTTCTTCTTTGGATGGCAAGTGCCAGGTCATCAGCGTAGCCAAAATTCCAGCTGATGGTGACAGGGTGGTCAATTATATATGTAAAAAAGTGCCAGAGCAAGCCCGTTACTGAGTAAGCAGGCTCTTCTGCCAGTGTTCCCTAGGTGGTCTCGGTATCGCCGGTTGGACAGTAGCGATGATAGGAGTCCGAGGGTCTGCTGGCATCTGATGACTTTCAACATCTTTAGCATGAGGCCCCCCCACCATACCGTGTCATAGGCCACTGATAGGTCTATGAAAGCAGCTCCTGTGATGTCCTTGCGCTGGTAGCCAGCTTCATTGTGCATGGTGAGTGCCAGCACTTGGTCGCATGTGCTGCGGCCGGGGCGGCAACCAGCCTGTTCAGTTTGTATAGCCTCCTCGAAGATTGGTGACATACGGGTCGGTAGCATCCTCTCCAGGAGATTGTACACCGTACTAAGCAGGGATATGGGGCGGAAGTTATTTGGGTTTGCTGTTGATTTTCCAGGCTTTGGAATGGCAATGATCATCGTTTGTCACCATTTTTTTTATTTTGCCTGAAGCCATTATGTCGGAATACAATCTGGCCAGCCAGCGGCATCCTTTTTTACCAAGGTGTTTCAGGAACTCGGGATAAATCCTGTCTAATCCTACTACCTTTCCTGATGCGGTGGTTTTCATGGCATCAATGACCTCTTTTTCAGTGAGGGGGGATGACAAGGCTATTGTCGGTGCACATTCTGCTGATGATTGGTGGAGTTGTTGCCTTCACTCGCTCTCTTGTGTGCCGGTCTGAAGGGATCTTTCCATTCAGCAGCATTTGTGCATCGATGGCATTGACGGGCACGTTGGCAGTATTGTTTGGTGGTGGCGGTATTGTTTGCTGGTGGTGGCCGTATTGTTTGGTGGTGGTGGTGGTGGCGGTATTGTTTGGTGGTGGTGGTGGTGGCGGTATTGTTTGGTGGTGGCGGTATTGTTTTGTGGTGGTGGTGGTGGCGGTATTGTTTGCTGGTGGTGGCGGTATTGTTTGGTGGTGGTGGTGGCGGTATTGTTTAGTGGTGGTGGTGGAAGTATTGTTTGGTGGTGGTGGCAGTATTGTTTGGTGGTGGTGGCAGTATTGTTTGGTAGTGGCAGTATTGTTTGGTGGTGGTGGCAGTATTGTTTGGTGGTGGTGGCAGTATTGTTTGGTAGTGGCAGTATTGTTTGGTGGTGGTGGTGGTGGCAGTATTGTTTGGTGGTGGTGGTGCTGCTGCTCCTAGGTGTCTCAAGAGGTGCCAGGCTCTACGGCTCGAGTGTGTGAAATCTGAAAGACTCCATCGCTTCTGTCCACCTTTGTTTTCTGGATTCATTTAGGGAGTCCAGGAGAGGTTTTACACATTCTGGGTTTCCAGACTCTGTGTATGCCCGGAGCAGGGACTCACTTTGCTTGCTCCAGCACGGAGTATATTCTACCCGGGAACCCCCGTGGGATGTGTGAGCGGGCCGCTTTGAGCACAAGCTTGGTGAAAGGTGTCGTAGTTTTCTGGCTTTGGTGGAATCAAGGGAGACGGTGCGCTCATTGTCATCGGTTAAAAGGTTCCCAGCTAGCCTTTCTTAAGTTGTGTCGTGGCACATGGGTGGACGTGATCTTCAGGATTTTGACCCCCGATATGCACCAAGACCGGCCTGTGCTGACTGTTTGGGAAATTGTCCAAAACCATTCTGGAAGCATATAGTGGTTCATCCCAACTGGCACACGACACAAAGCACAGGTCAGGGTTCCATTCCTTCATCCATCGTGCAGAATTGAAGGTGCCTCGGGCTTTTGCGTCGAACAGGAGGAACAGGTTACCAGATTCTGCCCAGTCGATGACTTGTTCTCCACACGTTTCATCGGTTGCATAGCCCCAGGCCGTGTGATGGCTGTTGAAGTCACCGGTGAAAACCGCGGGATGGGTCGCGGCAGGCAGCATGTTTGAGCTCCATGCGGTGCTTGGAGGTTTGCATACATTTATCACAGATATATTCTAGATTTTGACGATGATGGCTGACAGCGAGTTGTTTTTTGGGTTCGTTGTGGTGAGGTCCTAGAGATGGCAATTCACGTGGGATGGTGGTGGATGGCAGTGAGCAGAAATGCATTTTTGAGGCTCTTTCATCGTCAGCTGTATTGGGGTTTCTTAGAGCACATCAACCACGTGTAGTTCGAGGGAACGTCCCAGGAAGTCGCACTTAGGCCTTGATAGGCCCTATACATTTAGACGGCACAAACGTGTTGACGGCCCCACACTGTGGTAAGTTTGGCCTTGGAAAGGACCTTTGAGAGGCCCTTTTTAGGCGTTCGATTGCCAGGTTTGTGACGAGCACATAACAGTGGAGACCACGGGAAGGTTGTCATCTCCATCATCATTATCAATACTATTATGCATGTATTGAAAGATAATAAAAAAATATTAAGGAATTCTTTTTTCATTATCAAATTCAGTAACCGAAAGCATTTGTGGAATGCTTTCATGTCTGCTGGCCGAGTCACAATTAGAAAGGAGCTCCTTAGCTCAATGGGAAAACATTTTCTGATTATCCTACGTTCGCTTGGCTATTTAGTTCATTTGAATTCCAATTTGCTTTCTATAATTGCCCTAGGGATACATTTTCTGCTGTATCATAGTTTATGGGAGTTTATCCATCAAAATGACACGAAGCTTTTCTTTTAACTTATAAATTCTCTCCAATATACTTCACAGATCAAGATAAATCGGTGTCTCTGAAAAATATCTCAAAATGTTCTTTGAATAGGCTCCGTTAAAGCATTACACCTTGTCTTATTATTTTCTTGTTATGTGTTTTGTTACTTTGTGTGATCTTTGTGTATCAGTCCGATCTTTATCATGGTTTAGATAATATATTTAATGATTACTCAAGGAAAAATAGTAAAATATAAGGATGAGAAGGTTCCAGAATGTTAGAATTGAAATGTAACCTCTAGAGGTTACTGATGGTCTGAAAACGGGACACTACTGGCCTGGGTGGAATAATAAATGAAAGTTATTATCACCAACATATCACGTGGAAATATGATTGCGATTGTAACTGCAATACGACTGATGATTTTGTCATAGGCCTCGTCAGGAGCAGACGTTGACAGTGATGGATTGTGGGAAGAAACTTTCAATGAGGTCGTGGACAAAAAACTGAACGGTACAGAACAATTATTTACATAATATTTATTTGTTTATTTTTGGGTTAGATCATCATATAAATATAAATGTGTCGTTTAACCAGCCACCCCCCAACACAGCCAATTAGTAAGGTTTGTCACATAAACAAAACATGGCAATTAGTTACTATTTTGATTTAAAGCTTTCGTGACTGCAGGGATTCATATTCTTGGTTCTTTCGGTAAAGTCACGTAGAAGGGAAACAATAAAATAATGTATTTTTACCGAAAGAACCAAGAATATAATTAGTTACTAGTTCAGCACACTGGTGTGTTGGAGAGTAAACCCACAACGTTTACAATTCGAATACGACATTTCGCCGGTAATTACAACCAGCATCATTGGGCAACAGCCAGAGTTATGGAGATATCCTCCTGTTTCGGTCTTAAATAGAGGGATTAATGTGATGTCGTGCCATGTAATCAACATACATAACGTGCCGTTTGGATCATCCGCTCGTGTTTTGCATTTTGCGAGCAGGGCCGTCCTCTGTGGGGCTGGATTTTGCGCTGCCAGACTGCGGCCACGTCTACGGAATTCCCGAGCGAGCCACCAGCTTCCGACTCAAGCCAACCACGTGCGTTCAGTCCACACGTAAACATTTCGAGTGCTTGGCTGCTATAAATGTGCACGTGATAAGCCACTTTGTTGAGCTATCATTTGTGACCAGGTCGCTTCTGAAAATGAGCTGTATAGCTCAGTGGGCCTTACCTGGTAAAATAAAAATAGTTTAGTTTCGTTCATTAATTGCAATTAAAACGATTACATTGGCAGCCATTTTCCAAGCCACTGCAGCATGAAGGCTTCCCCACCCATGGGGTTGTCACCTGCAGGGGTTGTGAGGCCATACTTCACCAAGCTGGTCCGTGCTGGTTGTGGTGAAGCGAATGTCCATGATCGCTTTAGCAATCAATCACTACTAATTCAAACTCAGGTCGCCAGGCATATAGCACAGTGCCCTAACTTGGGGGTTGTTGGACCATGCTTCCACACGCTTCCTAACAACATTAACAGAAAATAACATCTCATGAGAATTCACTTAAATAAAGACGATGGTTGAATACTCGAGGGACGTTTTAGGTTTTGCCCGTCCTTTGTGCCCGTTTGCGTGTGCCGCTTTGTGCAGGGAGGGCAGCCCTTACCGCATGTTCAACCTGGACACGTTTGGTTACGAGCTGCACAATCCACAGGGCCTGTACGGGGCGGTGCCTCTGCTGCTCGCTCACTCAGCGCAGCGCACCTCCGCCATATTCTGGCTCAACTCCTCCGAAACCTGGGTGGATGTGTCTACAACACAGCAGCAGCAGCCTCCGGTAATATAGTCAACACCAAGAACCACGACAACATCCCGCACCTCTGACAAGCGCGGTTGGCTATGTACGGTGCTAAAGAAGTTCAACATACATACATACATACAGTCGCAACAACAACAGACCCTGGGCAACCCTGTGGTCGAGCGTTATTGTGTATGTGAGTCGGTGCGTCGCAAAGCTCGGGAGGGGCCATTCTATCGTCTGCGCACTACCAGCTGCTCGTCTTAACTCTACTTAATCTGGGCCCTGTTGTGTCTGAAAGTCGCGGTGTAATTGTAGCGGATGTTGACCTGTAGCCCTTCATCTGTTAAAGCCGATTCTTATGCTCTTTGATTGATGCACGCGTCGGTAATAACGCGTCTGACAAATAACTAAAAGCAGATCTACAGACAATAAATGAAAATAGCTCTACGGAAATGTCTTCTCAGCTCCGTGACATTTGTCCAGCCATGGCATGAGGTCACCGATGCAGTCGTTACCCAACTTTACACAGCAGCCTGTAGCACCTGAGAAATCAAGCACTGCTGTATCTAAACACATCATCGTCATCATCACGATCCATGAGCAGATAGTCCGTTGGTGTCCACTGCACATTCCGTCATTTGTTTCCGCTTTCTTCTGTCGTGCGCCAAATATGCTCAAGTGGTGCCGCATCTTTCTGGCACCAATCTCTTATGTCGTCAAGCCGTTCTCCGTTAATTCTTTCGAATTTTCAGAAATCTGTGTTGAGTATTAACGTGATGGTGGCGTTTTCGAGTGGAAGATTTGTGTCAGAAAAGGCACCACGTGTGTGAACAAAAACAAAATTCACTTCACTTGACCTGGGCCCTTTCAGGTGCCCTCCGAGCCGTCGGCGAGTCAGAGTTCGTCGGTCCGCGATCGAGTGGACACGGGGGTCCGCTGGATGTCGGAGAGCGGCACCATTGATGTGTTCGTCCTGCCGGGCCCGACGCCGTGCGACGTGTTCCGGCAGTACGCCGGCCTCACGGGTTGGTGCCCCGCGCACGCCACTCCCCTTGGGTTGGCTTGGCTGTGGTCACTTCTCTCAGGATGTGAGTCCGGGAAACGGGCGAGTGTCAAAGAGGTCAAGAGTGCTGAGCTTGGCACCGTCCGCTGAGTTGCTGGGTACTTGAACTATCACCTCGAGCGTTTGATTGACCTGGGTTCTAAAGTGTAGTTAGTGGAGCAATGGTTTCACCGGAGTCGTCAATGACCGCGCGAAAACATCCCCCATCGTGTTTAAATTTGGTGTTGCGGTTAATTTGGCAAAATTCCAGCTTCAAGAAGTTAAACATTGGTTTGACTGACATGCGAGGATCGCTACTCTTTGTGGAGAAGAGATCACTTTGCAGGGATCTCAGAATTAGTTCTGTGATATCTGCTTCCGCAGACCGTTCTTCACCACGGGGGGGGTGGGCAGTCGCACAGCTATGCGAGAGTCCTGAATAGATCCTCCTATCTGGCGACATGAAACAAATTGTGACTGCGATTTTTTTGTGAAACTATCTTTACGATGAATATATATTTTCATTTTACCAGGTAAGGCCCACTGAGCTTCATAGTTATTTTTTTCAGAAATAACCTGGCTACAAATGATTGTTCAACGTAGTGGCTTTTCACGTGGAAATTTCTAACAAATTCTCTAAACGTGTTGATTCTAAATGTGGAGGGAAAAACCGAAGGACCTGCAGAAAAATCCACGCGAGCACAGGGAGAACATAAAAATTCGAAATGTACAGGCATTAGGGTCAGGATCGAACTCACGACCTCCTGTATACCAGGCGAGATAGTTAACATCTCGCCACTGTGGCACCCCCGGCATTGCGACCCGTGGCGCGTCACGTTACGGCCTCGTTCGCCTGCGCGACTCGAGGCCGTCGGCTGTTGTCGACAGAGCCGTTGCGTTCTTCTCCGTTGGGAGCGCAGGGACACAGGCCCTGCCACCCTTATTCGCGCTCGGCTACCACCACAGCCGCTGGGCCGAGCAGACGGAGGCCGACACGCGGGAGGTTGACGGCGGCTTCAGGAGGAGCCGCATCGCGTGCGACGTCCTGTGGCTCGACATTGAGCACACGGACGGCAAGCGGTACTTCACGTGGGATGCCGACCGCTTCCCCGACCCCGTCGGCCTCCAGAACGACCTCGCGGCGAAAGGTCGCAAGGCGAGCGGCGTGGTGGGGACATCGCAGCTAAAACCGACGGAGTTCGTGGCCGCTCGGCTTGCCGTTACCAATCGCGTCTCTGATGGCGGCCTGTACTCGATTCACCTCCCTCGGGGTTCGATGGATTGTCGAGGTTAAGGATCGCGATTCAGTTCAAGGATCCGCACCTCGGATTAGCGCGTTTTGCTTCATACGGTGCGAAAGAAATTCAACATGCATAAGTACAAGGATACGTTTTCTTATTTTTCCTAATACTTTTGTTCATTGTAGCGCTCTGTAATGGGTGCAGGGGTCACGTGAATTCGTTACATACTGCACAGCACAGACTGATTAAACAAACGTAGATTCTTGTGGAGTTGACTGCGCGGATTGTGAACTTTTGAGAGTTAATGTTCAGCGATGCACCGTTAAACCCCTCATGCAGGAAGAGTCGTGAAATGTAACTTTAAGTCAGTGGGGTGATGACCGCCCGGCGCTGTCTCCTGTCTCCACAGGTGGTGACTATTGTGGACCCGCACATTAAGGTGGACGATGAGTACTTCGTTTATTCGGAGGGCAAAGCCAGGGGATATTTTATCCGAAACCCCGACGGGAGTAATTACGAGGGTCGCTGCTGGCCCGGTGAGTGTCAGCCTTTGTCGATGAGCATGGGTGGCTACGTAGGGTGCGAAAGAAGTTCAACATACGTACATACATATTAGGACGACACGCGCACCGCCAGATTATCACGGACAAATAGAGAGTTGGCCCTCGCGTTTGGCGGCGGCCGTACTCTGTAGTCTAAGGATGGGGATGTCGACGCTAGGGGGGAGTGGTGACATCTTGTCACCAGAGTTGCGAGATCTTCACTCCCTCGCCTGGTATGCAGGAGTTCGTGGGTTCGATACCGACTCTGACGCTTGCATATTTGGAGTTTGCATGTTCTCCCACGGTTTTTCTCTCCACATTCATAAATGTGCGATTAGAGTATTTGACTGATATAAATTTCCACACGATAAGCCACTTCGTTGAGCCATAATTTATGGCCAGGTGGCTTCTGAAAAATATCTATATAGATCATTTGGGCCTTACCTGGTAAAATAGAAATAGCTTAGTTTTAGTTTAGTTTGTTTTACACACTTCACTATGAAACCGGCACTCAGAGTTTGATGCTCAGCCACGACCAACGTCAGCGTTGAGCAAAATCTGAACCACTCCTCGGCCCCTCCAACTACTTATCTCCACCAACCCGCACTGACCACCGTGGTGAAGTATAGCCAAGCAACTCCCATGACAGTATGTATGTATGTAAGTTCAACTTCTTTCGCACCATACGTAGCCAACCGTGCTAATTGGAGGTGCGGGAATGTTGATCTATGACTGATAGAGTGTGAGTAGGCCTTCATCCACCAGTCTGACTGACAAAGGGATGTAACGTATTATCAATATTCATACAATATTATCTAAATACATACGCATTGTAAGATGCTGTACAAAACAGTGGGGCTTATGCATCATCGGGGAATAGGAGGTGCATCTATAGCTTTGTTTTCAAAGCAGTTTTAGGCAGAAGAGAGAAAGAAGGTCTTGAGCTTACAAGGATCATTCAGTGAGTGTGATGCTCTACGATTTCAATCAAAAACCGGTACATTTACAGTGCCCTAACACGGGAGTGGTTGGATTATACTTCACCAAGCTGGTTGTGGTGAAGCGAGCGTCCGTGCCCAGTTCGCCAGTTCGCCAATCACTCGCCACTCTTGAGCTTACAAGGATCATTCAGTGTGTACATTATAATAGGGCACGGTTTGGTGAAACGTCACGTCGCCCTCATTGTTTATTTCTTCACACGGCATGGGGTGGACTTGAAGAGGGGGCCCAGAGTAGACAGCGTGGATCACCGGGGGGAGGGCTTTCAAGTGTGAGCCTACAAAATATTAATACGCCTTTTTAATATTTTATGTGGAAGGCCTCTCCTCATATCTGGACCTGACCAACCCAGACGTGCGTGATTGGTACGCGAGCAAGTTTGATTACTGCAACTACAAGGTAACGAAACATATCCTACTTGCCAGACACAAACGTGCGGTGCGTTTTTGAAGGTTTTTTTTTTTTATCCGGATTGTTAGGATTGTGATGCAATATTATGTGGAACCGCTTATGTTAAATATGTCAACATCATAATCATTACGTGAAAAAAAACATCGACTTCATATGGCTAATTGAGCTCATGGTGGTACAGTGAATGGGGGTCATGAACCCATCTGTGTGAACCTTTCAGTATCTCCTCGTGTGTTAGGTTTACTGTGGGTAACCCTGTTTCCTCAGACACACGAAACACTCCTTAAAAAAATGAAATTGGCTAAAATCGCAATGCACGGCCCTGCTGACAAAAAGTCTTGACACTTAGTGAGGGTTACTTGGATAAATAAATTATATTATTATATTGCAATAGACAGTAACAGTTCACCTCTTTTACATTGTTTCTTGTGTTCTTTCTCTCGTGTTGCAATTCTGATAGCTTTGTGTCACAAGAGCACTGTGCCCCTTGCGAGAGGGAATGAATCGCACGTGAGATTTCTTTCACTGGAATTCTCAAAAATCCTTCAATTGGCCTTTTCCTTTGCACAATAAATTCGGGGTGCACTCTTCCACGACAGCCCAAATTATATCATTTTAATTATCATGACTCGAATTGAGCAAAATAAAGTAAAACGCACTCATGTAATACGATCATGACGGTGGTGATGGTGGTGATGGTGGATCTTTTATGTAGCATCGTTGGCCACCAATCTGAGACGAACAACTTGAACCTGGTTTTAATCTCAGAAAGCAACGCGGATTCGAACCCAAGGTTCACTGCCGTGCCAGTGTAGTTATTTAATTTTAATTTGCTTTGTGAGATCACAGCAAATTCAAAGTCGCGTTTCTCTGATCGCGTCACAGTCCTGAAAGTGCGGCAGGGTGATTAGATGGAATGTGTTGGTGCTACGAATGGAGCGGTGGCATCGTGGTTAGCCCAGCGACCTGGGTTGGATCCCCATCAACGGCTCTCGTCGGGAGCGAGCGATATCTGAACCGGTCCTGAGGCCATCCTTTGGTAACCCACACTGACCAGCATGGTGAAGTGTTGTAGGCTTTCAAGAACAACATGATTAATAATTGGTTTTGTTTGGGTTAGATCCCGTAGGTATATTGTCAACGATGATGCCGATGTTGATGAACATCTCTCGTGTGTTTTGCGTTGATCGTTGTAGAACTCGACGGCGGCGCTGTTCACGTGGAACGACATGAACGAGCCGGCCGTGTTCCACTCCATCGAGAAGACGGTGCCCAGGAACTGTCTACACTGGGGTGGCTGGGAGCACCGAGACAACCACAACCTGTACGGCTTCTACCAGGTGACGCTAGCACCGCCAGCACCGCAGCCACTGCCATTGCCATGCTGGTGCTCCTACCAACACCGCCAGTACCACCACTACCATTGACATGCTGGTGCTCCTACTAACACCGCCAGTACCACCACTACCATTGACATGCTGGTGCTCCTACTAACACCGCCAGTACCACCACTACCATTGCCATGCTGGTGCTCCTTCCAACACCGCCAGTACCACCACTACCATTACCTTGCTGCTCCGACTACCGCCGCTACCACCACCACCAACGCCGCGACCACCACCGCTATCACCATCATCGCCAACACTGCCACTACCAAATTCCGTGACCCACCCTTACTGGGTCTTACCCACTTCCCCGCTCAGCGTGACTTTGCCGGCGGTCTAGAACCACCGCGTGCGGGATGCCAGGGAGCGGCGACTCGCAGCGGCCCTGCGCTGCGCGTCGCCGCTCGCTCCGCTGACGCCGCCTCTGACATTTTGCAGCAAATGGCGTCGGCGGCCGGGCTCGTGAGGAGGTCGGGAGGCCTGGAGCGGCCCTTCGTGCTCACCCGCTCGTTCTTCGCAGGATCGCAGCGCTACGGTGAGCGGGCCCTCGAGGTCGACTGCGGTGGGGGCGCGCGGCTGCTCGCCCGGCAAACGTGGCGAGGAAGGGGTGGCACATTGGCGCGAAGGCGCCGGAGTGGAATTGTTTTTCAGATGGTTGAGGTCAAGTGGTCCGGAAGGTGACGATGTATTATTTGCGTTATTCTCGTGTTGACTTTTTGTTTGTTTGCCAACTGGGTGCTCGTGAGGACGTCATGATATTTGTCCGGAAGCTATCCTGGCTATTATCTGGGAGCGCATGTTACATTTGATTTGGGTAATTTTTCCGCGCCCCCGGTGTTATTCTGGTGATGGTATTGGCGTCCATTGGGAACCCTCACAGAGCGTTGCGTATCCTGCAGAAGCAGCGCAACTCAATTCTTTTCGTGCCTTTTTTTTAATCCGTACACTCGGGGGGAGCACTTTGCCACATGCCCTCCATGGGTAAACGTTTGTCACGTGGCAATTCAGAAAACAACATAAATTCGATGTGATAGCGTTTCTTTAGCTCGCGCAGTAATTGGTGATCAGATCAGTAAATGACGAGAAAAAGCATTCGTAACAGATTTATAGTACAGGCTGAAAAACTATAAGTTTCAAACAGCAACACAATAATTTGTAAAAAATCACACAGCCTTTGTGCATATGCAAACAACTATCAGTAGTTCCTGAAGAAGTGCATTGTGGTCCTCTTGTCTTAGGTCATCATCAAAATAACTTTGAGCAAATGCAACCGACTGACAGCAGACCACTGTGTGGACCGATTTCGACCTCAGCGAAGTATATTGTCACCAATACCCACTGCTGCATATTTACTTGGTAGACCTGGCTGAGACCATAAACTCACAACACATACAATCCAAATTTTAATCTTCTCATCGGTGATGGCTCAGTGTTTTGACCTCTGACCCACGCGGCCATCTCAATGGTGGATGTCCTATCAGGTACGTTACCTGCTTATGGCTGCCATGCCAGCAAGATTGACTGAGAGGTCTCTCTCCAGGTGCGGTGTGGACAGGGGACAGCCTGGCAACGTGGGATTACCTTCGCATGTCCACACCGATGCTGCTGAGCCTCAGCGTGTGTGGGATCTCGCTGTGTGGAGGTTTTTTCACGCGCACACACACACAGTTTTTTTTCTGGTGGGGCACACTGTTGCATTACATCGTCACCGTCATCATCATCATCATCCTGACCAGTCTATCTGCAGCTGGATGAATGTCTCCAGAAGCCAGGAGACGTGCAATCTCCTACACTTGATTGAGTGTGAAACATTTTGATATTCGGTAAAGGTTAAGGTAGCGCCCTGCAATTTCATGTTCACCGCCACTTTTGGTGGAAAGGCCTCCACCAGAGTGAGCTCTGGAGAGAACCCCTTGAGTGGAGGGAATTTTGCCTACTCACTCTTCTACACAAGAGGTGGCATCACCCACACTTTACCCCACTCGCAGCGCGAGACCTGCGGATCGACTCGCCGCGGTTTTACACGTTTATACCACTGGGGTGGACAGAGGCAGGGGCACTCACAGCTTGTACTGACACGTCACGGCTCAACGACTGAACCCAGCGGTCGCTCTCGGGGGCGACGGCGCGCTCGCGTGTCGCAGCGGACGTGGGCGGCTTCTTCGAAGAGCCTCAGTCGCAAGCGATGGTGCTGCGCTGGTTCCAGGCCGGCTCGCTGCAGCCGTTCTTCCGCGTCCACTCGGCCAAGGTTCGGCGCGAGCCTTGGCTCATGGGCGCCAGCGGGGAGAAGCTGATCCGGCGGGCGGTGGCGCTGCGCTACGCGCTGCTGCCGTACTGGTACACCCAGTTCTACCGCGCGCACCGCACCGGCCAGCCCGTCATGCGGTGAGCTCCTTCCGCCCGCGCGCAGGCACGTCGCGCGAGCTGGAGAGTTGTCTTCACGGGGGAGGGTGCCCGACTGAGTTCACTAACTGGGTGTTTGATAGCCGTGGAGAAGGGTGGCGGCAGTGGTTATTGCGCTGCATTGTGCACTCGGCGACCTGAGTTAGATTCCCGCTGACAATATGTGTTTGTCTTGGTCCTGTGCCTAACCCTAGGTTGACCGAATTAAGTACCTGCTATGGTGCGTAAACAACAGCATTGGGGAGACAAAGGCGGCCGGACGTGGTATTGGCCACTCACGCCCTGCTGTGCCATGCCGGCCTTGATAAGTGCCCGCTAACAGCACTTGCCCCAACAGTTTGTTAAGGCGATATGTGGGATCTTTGTGGAATTTTGCTGTGTTTCCTCAGCCAATGGGAAGGGTGCTGACTGAGTTCACGAATGGCGCTCGATGTCGTGTCCCCGTGGCGGCGCTACTGGGCTGATCCGATTCCCAAGTGGGCTCGGGAAGCGAAAACAGAGTCGCACACCTTTAGCTGGGACGACCTTGGAACCGTTTGCGATGTCACAGGATCGACGTGGTGGCAATGGGATGCATGTTCAGTGGTGTCCATCGCTCTGCTAGACTGCACGGCCATGTTTTTTTGTTAGATTAATACGGCGTCAAAAAGCGACCGCATCTCCAGGGGCCCGAGGGAGGCAATCAGAGGAAAAAGGGACGGTCTTGAGCATGGACTCGAACAGTGTCGTCGCGATTCATCTCCTTACTCCCCTCGTTGAAGGAGGGGCTGAGCCCATGGGGCCCTTTGTTGTATTTTGACAAGATCCCCGTAAAAGGCATGAACCATAATACGGGGGGGGGGGGGGGGAGGGGGGGTTACAAAAGCCCGTACACGGTGCTCCAGGGGTTCTGGGAAGGGGGGACGGTTGGGTTCACTGCCCCACTCACCTGGTAGGGACTGTGAGCGGGAACGTGGGGGTTTTATACGGGGGAAGGCAAGGGGAGAGGAACAAAAGTAAAGGGGATATGGGGGCGGGGGTCGGGGCACGGGGCCCTTCATGATCTGTGCTGTGCAACATCTGTACCGCCGCAGGACGCCCATGAAATGGAGCCTAACAGCTCATTGGGCTCTCCCTGCAGAAATTAATAAATATAGTCTAAATTTAATGGCTCAGGGTTACGTGAGGACACGGACCCTTTCCATGCTGATAATCCCTGAACGGCAACTGGGCTGTTCCAGGCCCCCATGAGCCCACTTGAAGCTGGACATGGAAAAGTGTCAGCGGTCTCAAGTGCGTTGTGTGCTGGCGGTGGTGTAGCGGTTAGCGCTACGCTGCGCTACAAACCGGGTGATCCGGGTTCGATTCCCGCTCACGGCCAGCATCAATTACAATTATCTGAACCGGTCCTCAGCCTTCAAATGAGTACCTGGTGCGGTGTGTAAACATTGCCACTGGGGAGACAAAGGCGGCCGTGCGTGGTGTTGGCCACCCACCCCCTCGTGTGTCGTGCTGGCCTTCATAGGTGCTTGCTAACAGCACTTGCCCCAACAGTCTGTTAAGGCTATACGGGGGATCTTTGTCTTTTTGTTGTGTTGTCGTGTTCCAATGCGGTACTTTAAAGGGTTGCTCACTGCCAGTGTCCTTTGCAGTCCTCTCTGGGTTGAATTTCCGTCGGATGAGGAGACGTTTGTTCTGGAGGATCAGTACATGATCGGTGAGATACGTCCACACGTTTAACACGTGACCATTTTTAATGATATATAATTATTTTTTCAACGATAATGTTGCGGGATTGGTTGTGAGCGAGGTTTAATTTACAAAGCGATTTTTTAACGTGGAGTAATAATATTTTTTGCCATATCGTGGTGGATTGGTGGTTGAGCTCAGGAGGTTCTGGCTGCAAAGTGGCCTCTGCCAATGGCACAGCACATTAAGTTAAAACGCGGCTGACGTTACAACGTATCACTGACTACACGTGGATTAATTCATTTCTTACATCATACACATTTAATGCACGCAATTTTACTTGAAATGCGCTGCTGATAATTTGGCGTAAAACCCCCAAGTTGGTTCCTTTCGTAAACCTCCCTGCTGTTAAGACAACACATGTCACGTTTTGAGATAATGAACAGGTAAAGCTCACCTCTTCTCCACTGCCCATTCTCTTCCTCTTCCCTCCCCCCCGCCCCTCCATTTCTTCCCTCCTCTCCCCTACCTCTTTCCTCACCCCTACTTACCCCCCCCCCTCCCCCATCGTAACTCTTCAGTGTGTGACTGTGGTCATTCAGAACAGACCGTATAACGATGCAATGCCCGATCCACAAATACGAAGGAGACATCACAGCGATAACACTCCACTGCTCCTGATGCTGTGGTTGTCTGGCTCGACCACCTGCATGTGAAATTGTAGTTATTGCTCTGTGTCTACATCGGCCGTACGACAAAAAGGAAGAAAAATCCCCAATGGTGGTCACCCATTCCTCATCCTTTGCATGCCCCTGCCATCTAAATAATGTATTTGCATATACCGTGTTTTAAATTGTGTTCAGCGATGGTGGTGCGATGTTAACTACCTCACCTGGTGTACAGGAGGTCGTTAGTACGATCTCGTCCCTGACACCTGTATATTTGGAGTTTGGATGTTCTCCCCGTGGTTGTGTGGATTTTTCTCTGGATCCTCCGGCTTTTCCTTCCACATTTATAAATGTGCATTTCGAGTTTTTGGCTGCTGTAATTTTCCACATGATAAGCCACTTTGCTGCGCTATCATTTGTGGCCAGGTTGCGTCTGAAAAAGAGCTGTGTAGCTCAGTGGGCCTTACCTTGTAAAATAAAAATTGCTTTTTTAGTTTTATTTACGAAATTTGCTTCCACACTCGCCGGTGTCACTATGAGTTCATGATTGCAGGGTCCATGCTTTCCCTGATGAACGTCCCCATTGTTTTGTAGGCAATGCCCTGTTGGCCCGGCCGGTGACTGAGGACAACGTGAATACGGTGCAAGTTTACCTCCCTGGGAGAAACGAGGTATTTTCTTGCCATCTTAACCTTCACACGGTCTCCCCTTGCGGAAGAGTCATCGTCCCGCCCGCTGAAGTAACATGTACCGAATCGGTCATTCCTTTGTCATGATCATATCGGCGCTTATTCTCAACTCCATGACTTTCCATTTGTATTGTTTGTTGTTGGAAACACGGTGGCAAAGATGAGCGGTATAAGCAACCCGAGATGGGCGTGTTTTAGAACCTTGGCCATGGTCCTGTGTGTTTGAGTGCACACGTTGCAGTTGTTGTGTACGTATAAGTCCACGTGCGTCTGTGCGCGGTGCGTGGGGGGTAGTAGTGCAGCGGTCAGAGTGCTGCGCTATGAATATATTGACCCGAGTTCGATTCCCGCTCATGGCCAACAACGAGTGACAATTATCTGAACCGGTCCTGGGCCTCCTCTAGGGTTGAATCAGCCTCAAATGAGTACCTGGTGCGGTGTGTAAACATTTCCATTGGGGGAGACAAAGGCGTCCGGGCGTGGTGCTGGCCACCTACCCCGTCTTGTGCCATGCCAGCCTTCATAGTCAGTTAAGGCTATATGGGCGACCTGTGTCTTTGTCTGTGCAATCCATTAGTGGGAAGCGTCGCCATGATCATGAGTGACTCCACTACATTGCAGTCTTGACAGCAAAGGTTAGATGCTAGACCATGCATTGGTATCTAAACATAGTCTTGGCCTCACCTAGGCAAGCTTAGCCTTAAACAATTACCTGGTGCATCTGTGCACTCAACTTGAGTGCTGGGTAGGCAAAGGCAGTCAAAGCGTGTTTGACTGATGAAGCAAGGGATTTATCATCCAAGCACGCTTTGCAGATGGAGAGATGATGGGCGACCATTATCTCTCTATGCGCACCTCCAATTAGCACGGTCGGTTACGTACGGTTCGAAAAAAGTTCAACATACATACATATCCCTGTCCGTGTGTTCGCGTCCAGGCATGGTACGACGTCCACAGCCGCAAGCGCTACCCAGCTCCGGGCAAGTTCGCGCAGCGTGTCAACATGTCCTCGGTGAGGGAGCGCTGCTATGTTTAGACACCGGCTTCGTTTGGCTCATCGCTCCCCCAGCCGCGTCCGTAGTTGTCGTCCGTTCGCCGCGATGCATGGACGATTAGTGGCATGCATTCCACCGCCCTTTCTCTCCCTCTTCACCTTGTCCAAACGTGAGTTGTCGCAAACACATTCCGGACATCGCTCGGCAGATTTTGCCTTGCGGCTTGCAGATAGCGGTGGGGTCGGTGGCTCGTTCAGCTGTCCTGCCCTTTGAACTTTGGTGTCAGCTTTCCAGGTCAGGCCATCTCCCCCTCAGGAAACAAACTCACATTTTGGAGAGTGAATATTATTTTGCTGATTATTTGGTATATTGTTCGTACTAATTTGGTTTCTCAAGTAATACGCAGTAAGATATATAAACGTCTTCCATAAATCAATAACAGCATGACCCTAATTGAAATAAAATCCCTGCGTTATCAAGGTAAAGCCAGAGTTCTTCAGCTTAATTGAGCAAAAGCTGTGGAGCTTATCTCTTTTTTCAGCCGTGAGCCAGTTGTGGAAATTCCACATTCCCATGACAGGCCCTGTTTCACACAGGACGACTTATGCTGAAACAGTGCTGAACAAGTCATTGATTATAATTGAGTCTTATGGTCAATACAGCTGCTCACCCCGAGCTATAAGTGTCCTGATAGTGGCATTGTCTTTGTGCTGTTGGCGTCCTCTGGTCTAACACTTTGAGACGAGGCTCAAAAGAAAGCTGTCTCTGGTGTGGACCAATCAGTTTCATAGACAATGCATATAATATCAGAGCATGTTTCTTGTTTTCATGTTCACCACAAGTACGTGCGGTTAATGCAGACAGGATCCCTCAAAAGGATTCGGTTTGGTGTTTTAATATTTTAACACCTGTTTTGTTGCCAGAAAGGGTAAGACCTATTGTTATATTTTGATATTGGCAAGAAAGGTCCCGTATTGTCAATACACAATATGGCAAAAAAATGATTTCCAATACACAAACCTCCAAATTCGTGGAAATTGTGTGGCTGCTATTGATTCTGCTTGGCAAAAGGGTATCCGCTATTTTATTGAATCGTGACCACAAATGTAATTGTGGAGGGGGTGAATTAATTATTGTTGCCTCGTGTTTACTATGTGTCATTTCATAATTATATCCCTCATTCCAGAAATATTCCTGGAATCTTAAAGATTTTTCATGAGGATTCTGCACTCGATATTTGGGCAGGCATTTATTATTTATTTTTTACACCATCACTGTTTATGGTGAACAGGGTCCCATTCTGAATGGAGAATGCTCTGGCAAAAAGACTTGCCAACCAGGCAGTATTTGTTTAAAAAGGACTCTGCTAATGGGACCCAAAAGGTCAAAATCAGTCGACAGTTATCTTGCTACATCAAATGCGGCTGGACAACATGAGTTTGGAAGACTACTGGGTTCAACACGAATGTGTTATGTGGAGAAAAAAAAAGAATTATGTTTATATTTTATCACTCATCATTTGTAAAGTTGGCAGGCATTCAAGCTCCCTGTATTGCTTGTTTTCCGTTTGTTCAGATCCCTCTGTACCAGCGAGCTGGAACCATCATCCCCCAAAAGCTGAACCTGCGGGACTCCACCGAGCTCATGAAGGAGGATCCCTACACCCTGCTTGTCGCTGTGGACCCAGGGGTCAGTGCTCCTCCATCCAGCCTGAACGCTGTTGACTCGCATCACGAAACAACACACACGACAGCTTCCCTCGTGCTACGTCATGTTCAATGAAGATGCATCCCAGAGAAACAAACAAACCATGCTTGTCGTGTATGTATGTATCTATTTTGAACTTCTTTCGCAGCGTACGTAGCCAACCGTGCAGCGGTAAAGCTAGATTGTCTATTGCAGGCTGTCTCACTCGAGTTTGAGGCTTTGCTAGGAAACACAGGTCAATTTTAACGTGAATTCCTTGGGTGCTCTTTTGGCATCGCTGCAGTGGTGGTGCCGAGCTCTTAAATAGTAAAACATCGCTGTGAACTTGTCACTCACCGCAGCTGAAAATCACTTTAAAGTGCCAAAGCAGTGCAGACAGCCCAAGTTACACAGCCCAGGTACTTATCTACGTGGAGTGAGCTTTTTTCATCGCGCGTCCTTCCTGAAGCATATCTAATTTGATCGTAATGGAGTGAGCTATTCAAATTCTTATGATATTGTCTCTAAATTTTGGAAAGCTAAACTTTGGCATCGTTATTTTCGAGTCCAGTAAAGCCTCACGGAGGCTCAATTGTAGGGGACGATATTTCTATTTGTGATCAACGTAACTTTTCGACATTGGGATGTTCGGCCAACACCGGTTACATTTTGTGGGGTTTTTTGTTTGCTATGGGAGGAAGCCGGTGAACGAGGATGAAACACATGCAGAACAGGGGGAGAAAGCTGCCCGTGTCTGGAATTGAACCTCGGGAGTTCTTGCTATGAGGCCCAAGTGTGGCCATTACGCCATCACCTAAATATATTTATTGTTATCTGATGGCAATGTAATCCACCACTGTGGAGGCAAGGGTTTGTTGGGTTGCACAAATATTATGAAACGCCCATCTCCTGGGTGTCGAGGTGCTATGCCCTGGCTTTCCAGGAGAAGGCGGTACAGCAAAAATGTGGTCCCCACCACCTCAATGGGCTCGAGTGTTTGAGGACCGCAGAGCTTGGGACATAATTATTGGTGCTGGCTCATTGGGTGGCTGCTTGCCTTCTGAGTGATTCCGACTCACTCGACGAGAGCGAGGAGTAAATACCGAACGGCGGCTGCGGCGAGCTACAAATTAAGCTAAAAACTCAACAGTTTATTTTTATTTTTCCAGGTAAGGCCCACTGAACTATAAAGCTCTTTTTCTAGAAGCAACCTGGCCACAAATGATAGCTTAACGAAGTGGCTCATCACGTGGAAATGTATAGCAGCCGAATACTCTAACACATGCTTCTAAATGTGGAGGGAAAAACAGCAGGACCCGGAGAAAAATCCACTCCAAATATACAGCAGCAGGCGTCAGGCTCTTACTCGATCCCACGACCTCCTGCATACAGGGCGAGCCAGTTAGCATTTCACCACCATTGGCATTATTGTGATGATGATTATGTTTTCGCTGATTGTTACTCTGTGCGCAGGGCTGTGCTGAAGGAGAGCTGTTCATAGACGACGGGCATTCGTTCCTCTACAAAACCCAACAGCGGTTCCTGCACCGTGGCTTCAGCTACAGCGACAGCACGCTCACTTGCAAGTGCGAGCAATGTTCCATGCTTTGCATAAGCCTGCTGGCTAGGCCCGTATTGAGTCGCCCGAGTCATCAAGTAAAGTTTATTCTTATGGCTCATGAATCATGCGTGCGAGAATCGATTTGTTTTCGATTCAAATTACATCATACAGTGATTGGCTCATGTGACCGCTGCAGCGACGGCAAGCCCTATAATCTCTGTATTGTCCGAATAGAAATCATTCTTCAGTTGAATCGTGTCCTCAGGATCCCTCGCTGTGAAGTCTGATCTACAACTATAAAGGCAATACATATTTCTGCCCTCCTTGAGGAAGGATTATTGTCCACAAGATGAGCCGATTATATATTTTTTCAGTGTAAATGGCAATTGGGGTGGGGCAGATGCGCAGCGTTTTTGCGCACCGCGCTATAAACCCGCCGACATGTATTTCCACAGCTAACATCAGTGGCAAGTGATATATAAACCTGTCCTGCGACTCTCACCCCCCCCTTCACCAACCTGCACTACTTACCAGCACGGTGAAGTGTGATCACACCAACCGCGTGATCGACAGGGCCCAGCGGGGAGATCTTCGATCATCCAGCGGTAGATTGACGAATGTCTGTGAGTTATGATGGCGTTTGTGGCGAGAGGTTTTGATTTGGTTTCAAGAGAGAATGGTGATGGGTGCGGTTGTTTCTCTTCCCCTGGCAAGGTCTCTGGACTCTGCGGGATCCATGGAGTGTCGCGTGCAGGTGGAGAAGGTTGTGATCGTGGGTGTGCGTCGTCCCACGCGCGTCCTGTGCTCGCTGCCAGGTGAGCTTAGGCGAATGACGGATTTGGTTGCGAAAATTATTCGTCTACTGGACATCTGTGAAAAAGAGCTTCATAGCTCGTGGGCATTCTCCGGGATAAACGAAGGTTCTGACTCTGAGCTGAGCGGTGAGCTGAAGCGATAATTAATGAACACAGCGTTTAAATGCTTTTACACGCGACAGTTTTGCTAGTTTGGCTATGTTGGGTGGTGGAGGGTCTTAATGTCAGAAATTAGTTCGAATGCAAAAATAAACTTTAAATCGGAATGACACAATTGTGCACGATCTCACAACTGAATTGTATTGCAGGGACCAATTTATTGTTTTGATTTTTTTTATCTCTTTCACCAAACTATTTTATTTTATGTATACATTCACAAAAGCAGCAACCATGCTAGTTTCATTAAAACACTTTACACTCCACTTTTGATCATTATTATTTAATTTCCCCACAGGTAGCTGGCCAATTAACTTAATCATTCTCGTTTTTTTTTAATCCACTCATTCTACATATATAATATTGATAATAATATACACTCCTCTGTCAATCCACAACTGGATAAAGGCCTTCCCATGCTGTGTCGGCCTTGAGGGTTGTTTCACCATACTTTACCACGCTGGTCAGTGCAATTTGGCGAAGGGAGGCCTAGAATGATGAGTTCATATGTCAGATATCATTCCCCAGTGAGCTCGGCTTGCTAGGTTCATAGCGCGGGGCATCAACCACGACGCCATCACTCCACCCTGAGCAAATGCCCTCTCTACGTTCTTGACAATGACATTTTGTGGGTTTTGATTTAAAGCTTTCGTGACTGCAATAATTCATATTCTTAGCTCTTTCGGTAAAGTCACGTTGAAGGGAAACAATAAAATAATAAAATATATATAAAACAATAAAAATTCTCACGACGTTTCGACCATAACACCATTGCTTTTCACACCTGATGACGACCGTTTGTGTTATGGTGGAAACGTCGTGAGAATTTTTATTGTTTTATATATTTTATTATTTTATTGTTTCCCTTCAACGTGACTTTACCAAAAGAGCTAAGAATATTTTGTGGGTTATCAAAGTTTTTCCAGGACACCCCCCCCCCGCCCCCCGCTCCGCTAAATGTCCCCTCGTGTGCTGGTTGTGTGTAGGTGGCAAAAGGAAGGCACTCCATTTTGGGTACAATGCCAGCTCGTCGGTGCTGGTTGTCAAGAATGCGGGCGTTCCCATCGCCTCCGACTGGAGCATTTCCCTCACCGTAAAACAGGGCCACAAGTCCTCCTGAGCCTGACCAACCAGCCTTGACCATTTCGATACAATCCTGCTGCGAGCCAAACTCAGTTGCATATCAATACACACACACACACACACTCCTTCCTTTAGCTCATCATCTCTCACAGCAGCCGAGTTGCCAAATATACATTTTATGGGTCAGGGTGACAGTGCAGCTTCGAAGGCGGAAACCAGTGATTGGTCGTGGGTTCGGCAAATTCGATACAGCCACAGGTGTGGCTCAAATAGATTATTGTGTTCTCCCCTCAGCTGCGTACCCAAGGGGGCAGGCCCCTGCCGCCAACTCCCTCCATCCCATCCCAATCCCACACCCACCTCTTCAGCTGAGAGTGCCGCGCACTCCGTGTTATTGCGTCGTGGCCAGGGAAGGATTATTGAGGTGGGCCCCTCTGGTGTCTCTGGCAGTGTTTGTATCGGTGACGCCATCAAAAGGGTGCAGTTGAGCGTTACACCCAGGACTCTATTCCTGTATTGTCTGCGCCAATTGTTCGATCACTTTTTTTCTGAGGGTCGACGGCAAAGAGCGAACGTGGATGTTAGTCAGTGGTGGCGGGTTTTAACGACACATTTATATATTTACGCGATCTAACCCCCCAAAAAAACCTCTATTATAAAGGTGGTTGGTTTGCAAACCTGCAGGATGAATCCTTCTAACTGTATTCAGAGTGTACCTCCCTGTTCATTGCTCAAGAACTCTTGTGTGGAGTGTGGTATTGTGATGTGGAAAGGGCGAGTAGGATTGGATAGGCTAGTTGGAGCATGTTTACAGTTGTGCAATGCAATTTAATACTACAATATGGGTACCCCCCCCCCCCCTCTATATATAGAACATGTATGTACCTTAAAAGTTGTCCAGAGAGCGAAATTATATATTCACATCCATATTTTCCCATTGACTCCCCATATATAATTGGAGGTGCATGCCTACAGGAGGAAATGTCAACCACTTTTGAGCCTCGACCCAATTGGTCTAATGATGTAGATGCTCACCCCGAGCCCTCATTACTTTGATAGTGCATTGTCTTTGAGCTGTACTTCTTTTGGCGTCATCTGGTCGAGCACCAATTGGGTCGAGGCTCAAAAGAAAGCCGTCCCTTGGTGTGGACCAATCAGTTTCAAGGACAATGCATATATTATCATAGTATGTTTTTTGTTTGCATTTTGACTGCAGGTATTGTGGTTAATGCAGACATGAATCCTTGTAAAAAGGTTTCAGTTTTATTGCCAGAAAAAAAAGGGGAAAAACCTTATTATATTTTGGTACCGGCAAAGGAGGTCTAATGATGTCACAATAAATCAATAAAAACGCTTTACTACACTGGCGGTGTGATTCATGCAACTGTTGTGCGATTCAGAATGGACTTTGTTGTTTGTGATTAGCTCATGGAAACCCTGCAGCCCGTGCAGATTGGAAAGGCTGCACAAGGGTAAAACAGAAAAAAGGATTAAATCATCAAATCACGAATTGTGACGATCGATTGAATCTTGCAGGGGTTAATCCTTACATCCCTTGACAACCAGAAATTAACACATTAAAAGGAATGTCACGGATGAACTTTGGACATTAATGGAATTCTGTTGAAGGGTGTTTTAAACTCGATTGAGCATGTTTTTGCCGATAATGGTGTGCACTGATCGTTAAAAAAAGTTAATTCACTGCATGAGAGGCACGATCAGAATAGTTTGAGAATTGTATAAGATTTGGTAATTCTTAAATGCAGCAGAAAGTGGGCCTGACATTCTCCTCTAGAATCGTCTGATTCCATGGTTGTGTCAATGATGGCGAGCCATCCAGGGCCTCTAGCAGCAGAGCAGCCCCAAACCTTCACAATTTCTAACCACCATTCTTGACGGTTGGGATGAGGTTCTTCTGTTCAAAAGCAGCGTTTGGTTTTCGCTAAGCATTACACTTCTCATAGAGGCCAAAAATTTCTACCTTTGACTCGTCTGTCCAGAGAACATTGTTCCAGAAGTTTTGTGGATCATCTATTTGTGCTCTATGGCAAACTTCAGACGGGCAGCAAACTTTTTGGGGAGCAGTGGTTTCCTCCTTGCTATCTGCCCAAGAATGCCATTCTTGTTCAGTTTTTTTCTGATATTTGAGTCATGAATACTCACATTAGCCAAGGCGAGAGTGGCCTGCAGATACTTGGATGTTTTTTTGGGGTTTTTTGTGACTTCCTTTAGGTTTTTCCGGGTTATTCTTTGGAGAGATTTTGGTCAGACGACCGCTCCTGGGAAAAGTGACAATGGTCTTTAACTTTCTACATTTGTAGATTGTGTCTGACAGTGGATTGGTGAAGCCCCAAATCTTTGTAATTTTTTTCGTAACCCTTTCCAGCCTGATGAGCATCAGAAACTATTTTTCTGAGATCCTCAGAGATTTATTTTGATCATGGTATCACTTGTTTCCACATACACCTGTACGGTGAAGATCAAACTCACAGTTTCTGATCTTTATACAGGATGGGGCCTCCCAAACTCATCGCTGAAGATCTCCCTTATTATTTAAACACCTGATTCAAATTATTCCATTAATTTAGCAAATGAAACCAGGGGTTCACTTTTCACATACCCTGAACCGTAATTACTCTGTTTAATTCATACTTAATGTTGCTTCAAAAGACATGGAATTGTTTAATATTAGCCCTATTGGATATTTAATAAAAGACCGTTTTTTTAATTCAAGAAGGCTATCATGAGTAAGGCTATCATGGTAGAACTATGGAATTTCCATAATCATTGGGGTTCGCAAACTTTTTCTCGCCACTGTACCTCATTCTCAGCAAACTGTTGACTGCCTCTTGTGCATGTACACAGGTACTCTAGCGTTCAGCTTGTCAAATGACTCTTGGGTGCTTTGACTTGGTACCAGTACTGCAATCACTAACTTCAAGGGAAAGTGCTTGATTTTAGCATTTGCAAATGACTTTGGTGTGTTGGTGTTGACAAGGCGGCAGTTTCATATCGCCGCCGCTGCATGGCTGAACGATAGCTTCAGTTATCGCGGGCTTTAAACGTCTTCCGAGATTAAATAATGAAATAAATGTGCAAATACCCTGCCGCCACTCTCGGCCCCTCTCTCTGCGCGCCAATTGACTCTGTGTGTTGTGTCTCGAGGGGGTTCGCTGTCGGCAGCTTCTAATAGTCAAAAAGCGGACGGAGATGGACAAACGCACGAGCCACCGAAAATAATCCTGGGGCACCGCGAGTTGGAGTAAGCTCTCGGACCCCCCCCCCCCCCTCGCTGTGTAAAATTAGCCCCTCTTTATATGGGGCGCCCGCTCTGGGCCTCGCAGCCCTGGGCACAGCGCCACTTTTGATGGTTGGGGCCCGGCCCTTTACCGGCTAGCGCCGTGGACGATCGCGTCCCCGTAACGTTCCTGGGATCGGAACACGGTGTAAGAGCGGTGAGGGCCGGGGAGAGCTCAGGTGACGTGAGGAGCAGACAGAGAGAGAGCGAAGAGAGAGGGAGAGGGAGGGAGGGCGTTCCTTGAGACGAGAACTTCTCTGCCTTGTGCCACCGGGGAGTGGGTTTGAGCCAGGGGTGAAACCTCAGCGGGCTGAGGGGTATTTTTAAAGATCGGTATCTGCCTGCGCGACGTTCTACCTTGCAATGCTGCGGCCACTCTCAAAAGGTAATTGCACTTTTAAACGGGAAGTTTTTCGGAAATTTGTGTTCTTCTAAGTACATTTATGAGCGCTTCAGTCATTGCCTGCAACGATTTGTGCTCTGACGTTGGGATACTTTTTCTGGAAAAGTGTGTGCTGTTGTGTGCAATGGTTTTGCAATGTTGGTAAAGCAAAGCATTTTTTTAAGGCTCTGCATAGGTAGAGTTTTTTTTGAGTGCTGAAAAGAATAGCAACATTACGTTTACAACAATGAACTTAGTAATGCTTAATTTGTGGGTAATATTGGGAAATTTTCCTTGCAAACCTTGTGAAATTCATATTCTTGGGGCTTATTTTCTTTGAACCTATCTACGTGACTTTACCGAAAGACCCAGTAATATGAATTCCTGTAGTCACGAAAGCTTTAAGTCAAGACTTGTGAAATTCGTTAAAGTAATTTGCCAAACACGAATAATGCAGGACCCTCCTGAAAAACTTTTTTAGGTTCAGTAACTTATTTTGTAGAAATAAATAACGTCATTATTTGTCAGTCTGTGGGGAAAGGTATATTTATTGTCAGTCATTGCAAGATCCCATTTTGAGTGGTGGAAATATTTCAGAATTTTCATGTAAACACCAGCAGCCCAGAGTCAAGACAAGGTTACTGATGCAAATCATTTACAGCCCTTTGGTAATCCACTGCTGGGTGAAGGCCTCCCAAAACCACGTCGGTCATGGGGCTTATTAGACCATACCTCACCACACTGGCCAGTGTGGCCACACAGGACCAGTTCAGATGTCACTCACCACTGATGTTATCCATGGCCAATAATTAGGTTGCCAGGCTCATAACACAGTGCACTCCCTCCTGTGCTAAAGCTTCCTCCTGGTGGAAATTTCAGACAGTACTATATATATAGCTCTCTCATATGTGTTTAGAGAAGCGTATGTTTTTATTTCTTTCATGGAGTGTTGAGCATTAAAATTTGAAAATAACTGAAGTGTTGAATTTCACACGGTGGGTGCAAATGGGATTAGGATGCTCGCATAGCCACAACAGATTTTCACCTTTGTATTCATCTTTAAAAAGTCTTCGTGTTGATGCCTCGCAGGGTGAATGCCGTGCAGCACAAGGCACAGAGTACGGTGAAGTAGAATACGTACACATTTTTAAAACGGCACCGCGATAAACCCAGAGATGCCGTACATTTTCAACACGCGGGTGCTGCCTCAGCCGAGGCCCGCTCCGAGCCCGACGCCCGGCCACCCGTTCATGCACGGCTCCTCGGGGAACTACCGCAACACCGCCATCAGCAACCGCAACGCGTACCTCATCGACACACAGGGCAAGAGCTTCGAGGAGCTGCGCACCTTGTGCCTCAGCCACGACGTGCTCTTCGAGGACCCAGACTTCCCCGCCCACAACAACTCCATCTACTTCAGCCAGAACGCACCGATGCAGTTCCAGTGGATGCGTCCCAAGGTGAAGCAAGCGCCCTCCGGGGTGGCGCTATTCATTATTTCCCCCCCCCCCACCGCAAATTTGTGAAAAGGTCGCGCGCGGAGGGCGTCTGTCTGTCTGTCTCTCTCTCTCTCGTGTGTGTCGGCAGAAATTGCTTTTCTCTTGCCGGCCTTGCGGTGGAACGGTTGGCGAGTTCTTGTGATGCAGTGGCGGTTCGTTTATTTACAACTAATTAAGGTGTCCTTGCAGTTTGTGCTGTATCGAGCGGGCTGATGTGTACAACCCGGAAAACACATCGGACTTCGGTTAGATTTCTGTCAAATGGCGGCAGCAATTTGCCTTTCTGTTAACAAGGGGAGCAGGTCCCTTGATGTTGAAGCACTGAATGAGAACAACAATCCATCCCGAGAAACGCCTCATTACACAATGTAAGTTGTGCACTGCGCGGAAATCGTTTTGCTCATGAACCTTCCATGAAATGTAGATCCAAAGCCACTTGTAAGGAAAACCGCATAAAGCAATGATGTTGTGATGCATTCCTAACCTCAGCAAGTCCAATGCCAAGCGTGACTCATACTCAAGACCAATCCATCTGTGTATGGGTGTCCAGAGGAAATCATGTGACTGCGGTGATTTATGGACCGGATGTCACAACTTGAACAACCGTTTTGTTTCCTTTATCTTGAAGCTGGTGAGCAACCATTGTGACTCCCTTTCTCTTTTACAAGCCAGACCCTGCGTCTATAGGGGTCAGTTATTTATAATGCATATACTTATATTAATAAATAATAATAATAATATATGTCTTCTTTGGTTCTTTCGGTAAAGTCACGTAGAATGATAATAAAATAATAAATTGATAAAATAAAATAACACAATAATATTCTCACGACGTTTCGGCCACAACACAAGCGGCCTTCATCAGGTGAAGGGGGCGAGACTGTCTGGTAGGACAGCGCTGGAGTGAAAGAGCCACGTTCAGATACGGCCTTTAAGCTGTGTGAGAGGAACAAAGCGCCTTGACAAATAATAATAATTGATAACATGAAGGTAATTTATATTTTAGTTTTTATTGGTTCACTATATAGTACTGTGAATAGCTCAGATGTGTAGTCATTTCTGTGACCAGTCACTAGCTAATCACTCAGTTGTTTCAATGCTGGATTCGCCTAGTTATTTCAATGCTCAATTCTCCTGTTTGATTTGTACTAAGGGCCTCGGTGAATGTGTATGCTCTGACTTTAACGTAGCTATTTCTGCAGCAGGTACAAGCTCTATTTCTGCAGCAGGTACAAGCTAATCACTCAGCTATCTCAATGCTAAATTCTATGCTAATTCCATTGTCAAGGGGTGCCTCTGCGGATGTGTATGCCTTAACTTAGCTATTTCAATGCTAAATTCTATGATAATTCATTTAACAATGGGTGCCTCTGCGGGTGTGTATGCTTTAACTTTTAACATAGCTATTTCTGTGACCAGTCACAAGCTAATCATTCAGCCATTTCAATGCTAAATTATATGCTAATTCCTTTGTCAAGGCGCTTTGTTCCTCTCACACAGCTTAAAGGCCGTATCTGAACGTGGCTCTTTCACTCCAGCGCTGTCCTACCAGACAGTATCGCCCCCTTCACCTGATGAAGGCCGCTTGTGTTGTGGCCGAAACGTCGTGAGAATATTATTGTGTTATTTTATTTTATCAATTTATTATTTTATTATCATTCTACGTGACTTTACCGAAAGAACCAAAGAAGATTAATCATTGCAGTCACGAAAGCTTTAAATCGAAATAATATATGTACACTGCTTTGCCGGTCCACTTCTGGTTGAAGGCATCCACGCTCCCTGTCAAGTATACGAATTGCTTGGCCCAAACTCACCTCGCTGGTCAGTGTCGGATGGTGAGGGGGGGGGGTGCTGATGTGCAAGGGGGCACCCAGGACCGATTCAGATATCGCTCGCCACTGATGAGAGAGGAGTAGGAACCAATCACCTCGCCACCACTCCACTGATCCAAAACAATGCCCTGTACGTAATATATCTTCATACTGTTTAAAAGTTAGATTTTTCACCGTTAGCACTGAGAAGCACAACCTTACACTGCCTAGCGTGGCCATGCACGGTCAAACAAGACGTCGTGATGACTGACACGGCATTCAGACGAGGGCTTCATCCAGGAGTGGATTGGCAAAGAATTAAATTATTTCTTCCTGGAAATTATTATTTACGAGTAATTAGCTCTCGTCGTCGTCGCCGCCGTCATCACTGATTGGCGCAAGATACCCGCGTGGCAGTGAATTGCTGTAATTATTTATGAGTAATTATAAATAATGCTGACGAGGAGGAGGAGGAGGGTCGTGTTTGCTGAAGTCGTCTGTTACTTTCCGCAACCGCCCTCTCTGCCCGCCGGCATTGTGACTTCACACTTGGGGCGTCGTGAGATTGGTTTGTGTGAGAGAGAGAGAGAGGTGCTCGCGGTGGTCATGGAAGGGCGCCCCGACAGACCGCTGTCTAACCCGAGCCTTCGCCTGCGCGCACGTGACAGGGCCCTATTATTCATTTGGCATTGGAGCAGTAAAAACACACACCATTGACGTGCCTAAGCCGTGTCAATGCAACTTCAGCAGAGTGAGCCAGGAGATGTGGCAGTGATCGCGGGACGTATTGTGCCTTTTGTGTGTATTGAACATCGCGCTGTCTGTGGATTTAGCCGTGTAGTCTATGCCTCTATGGGCATTTTGTGGCCGAAGGCTATATCTGCTTCCTGGCGACCGTCGTAATCCTTTTCCCCACGTGCTTATGGTGCAATGCTCGTTCGGGAGTGAGGAGACAACGCATGAACGCACACCAAGTCGCGTTCTGTGAAACTGTCAACTCTGCAGAAAGTGTTTACTATTCGCACGTTCAGGGTATATTCGGCTAGCGGTGAGCGCGACCATTGAGGGTGTTTGTGAATCCTTGAATTGGTGCGTCGATGCGTACAGTGTTTCCCATTGAGGCAGAATTTTATGGGTGAAATGTTGGGCCTGCGAAAGACGACGTTCGCGAAAAGCTTGATGTTTTTAATGTGCGCTACGTAATTAGGTTGACCGCACATATGCGTAGAATATTTTTTTCGTTGGGATTGTATTGAACACCGCATCAATAATTGTAAGTGTGTTTAGTGAACATCAGGGGCATTGCATGCTAATTATATCATGATAATATTATTTGATCTCATGATAATAATGTGTAAGCGGTACGTAAGCAAATATCGTCAACTTTTTGTACAATGACACTGTGTATCATTGTACAAATATAAACAATGCACAACTTAAGAGTACTCAGCGTTATTTTCTGAAAACACCCCTGTTGATGATGAGCAGTAACGGAGGCAGATGGATGTCAGTCACCTTCAGGTCCATCCTGCAACTTTAACCGGCCAATCACAGTGTGCCATTCCCAGCATCATGGTTTAGAGGATTATTGTGTGGGAGCCCTGTGGTGGTCTGTGGATTTTGGTGTCAAAATAAAAGCGGGGTCTTTTTTTCGACTCACGCTTTTTCACGAACAAATCGTTCCTTGTTGGCCCTACGTCCCGCATGATTGCTGGACGATGCCAAAAGAAACGGTCAAGGATCAGTCAACGTCGGGTCAAGTGAAAATAAGTGTTCTTTAATTCACATTTTTTAAAAGTTAGATTGAGTTAAAAAAGGAGAATAAAAGTAAGCAAACACAAAGTTAAGTTCGCGGCAACTACGACAACACAGCAGCAGCAGGAGGAGCGATCATGCCACCAAAAAGGGAAATGATGTCCTGGATTTGCGATCGAATTTTGCACTACAAAGCGTGGCGCGGTGGCATCGGCAGCGTGAACCAACCCGTGACCTTCATGGGGCAGAGCTACATTGCGCTGAGGACCGAGCGCCTCTCGGAGGGCAGTCTGTTTTGCGACGATTATTTCCCAGCCAACGCCGAATCCCTAGGTCGGCGGTGCAACAAAACCAGGGGGATTCGCTGGAAGAGACCCAAGGTAGATTTGAGCAAGAACCACCCCTTCGTTGTCTTCATACTGGCAGTGGTTGTGGGAACCGCAAGCTTTTAGTGTTAACCACTGACACTAAGGCGTTAATGAAATAATTGTAATGTTGTTTGTAGAGTGCGGAATGTGTGTGCGAGAGTATATAGATTTATATAAAGGGTGCCGTGTTCTCGCAAGCATTGTTAAAATAAAACTGAGTATATGTTATTAAATATTGTAAAGCAGTATATTTTCACAACTTAATTGTAATAACTTATAGTCAGCGTACTTGGTCAATTAAAATAATTCCATAATCTTATATACAACACGATATGTATCCATGTAGTGTCTAAATACAATTCATATATGGGCCTTACATTACATTGGTGCAATACTTTGTCTTATTTTAACATTATGTTTCTGGATATGTGTTATTTTTATTCACAGCTATATATGCGTAATTATTAACCTGGTGAAAACGTTCAGGCTGAAAGCGAAGTTTATATACAGCGTGTGTGTGTGTGCATCCCAATGGTATAGAAGCGATGCGCTGCAGTGGTTGAGTGTTGGGTGGGGCGAAATACTCTTCATTGGTCTCCTGATTCAAAGGTGGAAATTCCTCATTGCTGTGGCAGGGATTCGGCACATTCATGTACATACTTGCCAATCCTCTAGAATTATGCAGAAAGCTGATTATGTTTAAAAGCTTTATCTTATTTTATTTTAGACCCATATACACGAGCTTGATAAGGTTTTCCGAAGAATATATTTTTGCGGACTTTTTGCTGTGAAAAATTACGTGCGGCAAAAAATCTGCAGCCTGTCACGTGAATTGGAAGGGCTGGCTAATACTGTACACATATTTTCTCAGTACGTGGCGGGTGGTGGGGCGGTGGCACACTGGTTTGCACACTTTGCGATGAACCAGGCCATCCCGAGTTCCCTCTCCAATCATGGCTAAAATCAGCGTGGTCAACTGTGGTCAAACAAACACCGTGGCGTGGGGAGGCTTTCCTCCAGCCGTGCGTTGTTGTATTTCACCCCGCACCTCCAATTAGCACGGTTGGCTACGTACGGTGCGAAAGAAGATCAACATTCGTCCATTGACAATGGCCTGGAAACGATACATTGTTTTTAACTGTACTGCATTGTCAACACAGCCGTGTGCTTTGGGGCTCTTCTCTTCATAGACTCATCGCTCATTGTATTTCTTTCTTTGCACAGGACATTTGTGAAAACCCGCAGTTCATCATTAATGGGGCGACGCGCACAGACATACGGCAGGGAGACCTCGGTGAGCCCTGTGTGTCTGCACGCGTGTCACTGTTTTCGATACTGTCACACAACACGCATGGAAAAATGTAATATTCTGATTCTGGTGGAAACTCACAAAAAGTCACAGTAGCGTCCGGTCAAACGGGCAAGGTCTGGTGTTCGTCTCCAATTTGCATTGCTTAACTAGTTGTGGACATTCCACGTTTATATGGCAGAGGTAAGTGGCTCCATAGGACAATCACTGTTGGAAACTTCACATGAATTTAAGCCCAGTTAATTTACACCACAGCTACAGCGAGTATGTATTCCTGTTTTTGTTTCTAAAAGTTTAATTTGTAGATCGCAAAGCTGTGCTTGTTTTGCACGGAATTATTATTTTGTAAATGAATGTACGTAATAGATTGAGATTTTTTTTTATTTCAGCAGGAAGTGCCCAATGAGCCGTTCGGCTCTATTTCATGGACATCCTGCGATAGTATAGATGTTACACAGTACAGATCTTAGTTACAATCATGATTACAAAGGTCGCAATACTAACGGCAAGTATCTGTACATACTTTACACATCACAAGAGTAAGGAACTGGTCGAAAACTAAAAAAAAATACATAAACATGACCACATTCGTTAACGGACAATAATAAAGGGAGGAAGATGTTTTGTTTTATTTAACAAAGCAAACACAATCAGTAACTGACAACTTTAAGCACGACCCAGACAGACTCGGACTTATGCTTCCCGTTCGATTATTTGACATCTACATCCGTGAAGGAACTTGAGATTCAGGGATGAACGGAGGTTTCTGACGGCCGGCAACGATAGTGTGATGTTATTTTCCTCGCCCGGTATGCAGGAGGTTGGGGGTTCGATCCAAACCCTGATGGCTGCGGTATATTTGGAGTCTGCGTGTTCTCTCCGTGGTTGTGTGGATTTTTTCTTCAGGTTATCTGGTTTTATACTCTTTGGTTTTTTCGATAAAGTCACGTAGGTAAAATAAAATAAAACAATTAAATCACGACGTTTCGGAGGCAACACAAGCTTCCGTCTTCAGGTGGAACAGTCATCGCTGCAGCGATCTTGCTGTGTCTGTTCCACCAGAAGACGGAAGCTTGTGTTGCCTCTGAAACGTCGTGATTTAATTGTTTTATTTTATTTTACCTACGTGACTTTACCGAAAAAACCAAAGAGTATGAATCCTTGCAGTCACGAAAGCTTCAAATCTAGAATTATCTGGTTTTCCCTCCACATTTAGAAACATGCATTTCGATTATTTAGCTGCTTTAAATTTCCATGTAATAAGCTACTTTGTTGAACTATCATTTGTGACCAGGTCGCTTCTAAAAAATAAGCTAAAAAGCTCTGTGGGCTTCATGTGGTAAGATAAACATAATTTTGTTTTATTTGTATATTTTTTAAGTGCTTTGTTCACATTTCCTATACTCTGCACTCCTATCATGCCAGTGTTAGGGTTAAAATTTGGCCAATCCCAAAATTACCTGTAAATAACTATATTTGGATTACGCATAGCAATCGTCACTGGCAGAATAATGCTCCAGGTTAACCTTACAAACGAGACTATTTTGGTATCTTGCATTCTCTCGAGTTTAATTCTAGGCCACTACTGGACGTCTGTGAAAAAGGGCTTTATAGCTCATTGGATTCCTCCAGTCAAACTAAATATTCTGATTTTGAACATCAGTGGTGAGTGATACCCAAACTGTTCCTGGGCCCTCCATCGCCAACCAAATTGTAATTCATGGGCCTACGTTACGGTTCTATAATTTACGTGCTCGTAAGAATGATAAATAAGAAATGTCTTGTCAACGTATGATGTATAGGGTACAGGTAATGAGCATGATTGTTTTCCAATGCTTTATTCCACTACATTCACAAGCTCGTCATCAACAAGCTCAAGACTCTGTGTCATATATTACTAAATAGCTTTGACTTTTTTTTATTTCTTTGAAACATACTGGATATGAAACTGATAGCAAATCATGATTTTGTAATCCCGTCGGTGAGCTGTAAGTCATTCGAGGCGCTGAAAAACCTACAGCCGACCTCGTAAGGCGCAAAAGAATTGTCTCTCGAGACACACAAGCTTATTATTATTTTCTGTATCCGAGCATGTACAGATTAAAGTACATATATATTTTGTTCTCTTTAAGAACATCTACCTTGACTAAAAATACATCAAAGGGCGATACTACTCTTGGATTTTGATTTAAAGCTTTCGTGACTGCAGGGATTCATATTCTTGGTTGTTTCGGTAAAGTCACGTAGAAGGGAAACAGTAAAATAATACAAATAAAAAACAATAAAATTCTCACGACGTTTCGACTGCAACACAAGCAATCATCATCAGGTGTGAAAACCACACCTGATGATGATTGCTTGTGTTGCAGACGAAACGTCTTCTACGTGACTTTACCTTGGATTTGTTTAAATAACCCTTGTTAATCTGAGTCACGGATGTTTATCTGTTTGTTTTACCTCTGCTTCAGCAACAAATTAAACGTGGCGTCAACGTTTTGTTTGTCACACATCCTTGCTGAATTGGACGAGGGCGTCTGGTGGGGCTGTCATGAGTGACTAGGCATTGATGAGTGACACAAAAATGACCTTTTGAACTCTGCACTTCGTTAGCATTCGCGGACTGCCCGTCGCGATTACACCACTTCAGTGTGCACAGTACTGAGCATGCAAACCCGAGTGCATTTTAAATTGCTGTTGCACGCCGTTCCCATGAAGGAGACCATTGCGCTAAAGTAACACATTAAATACCGTGCTGCCTCAAAGGCAATGCACAGCCGAATGAACAACAGTGACACATTCAGGTACCCCACATCTCATTGCTGCTGAACTCCTGTCTTCACAAATGCCACTGAATAGCCAGTGAATCACAATGCGTACCAAGCTACTTGCCACAACGGCGTCTTTTTTAGGGGGTTTTAGTGGGAATGTAACTTTTGCACCACCCAATTGTGTCAATCGTAAATAGACCCCTACGATCGTGAAACGTGCATCGAATTGTGCGTGCCAAGATCGATTGTAATTGAAGCAAATCATACACATATATACAGTGTCTCGCCCAATTAAAGAAACGTGTTCACTCTCATCTATTACGACTTCAGTAGTGCTGGTTGTTGCTTGCCACTTGGGCGTTTTGAGACCTTTGCGGTTGGTCTGTGATCAGTAACTGTGATATAAAAAAATAAAACAATACAAATGAGATGGTAAAAAAGTGTGCCTTACACCGAATAGGTTTGTGAATTGAATCCCGACCTTAATTCATCCCATTGTTTGGCGAGTTAATTGTCACATGCCTCGTATTTAGGTAGTTATTTAAACTTGATTTGAAGCTTTCGTGACTGCGGGAATTACTCTTGGGTTCTTTCGGTAAAGTCACGTAGAAAGAAAATAAATTAAATAATAGAATACGACGTTTCGATTGCAACACAAGTAGCCGTCATCAGGTAGAACTGTGTTGTCTCTCTCTGCTTGTGTGTCTGTGTGTCTCTGTGTTGTCTCTCTCTCAAATTTAGTTCTACCTGATGACGGCTGCTTGTGTTGCAATCGAAACGTCGTATTCTATTATTTAATCTAATTTATTTCTACGTGACTTTACCGAAAGAATCAAAGAGTAGGTATTTAAGTTAGGCAGGCAGACAGGTAGGTAGGTAATTGTGCAGGTGTGCATTGCGGGAAGTAAGAGTGGTGTGTAGGTAGATATTTATATCGGTAAATGGGTAGGTAGGCATTTAGATAGGCAGGTAAGTGGGTTGGTAGCCATCAATCAAAGATGGTTACCGTATCACGCGCTTTCAGGTGTGCTTCTGCAGACATCTTTAACGCCTTTCCTTCGATATTTTGAAGTGACTGGAGCTATGCACTTTTAAATCTCGATATAAATGTAATTTCTTTAGAACTGCTTTTTGTGTTTAGTTTGTTGTCCTTCCCCACACCTCCGATAAGCACAGTGCGAAATAAGTTCAACATACATACATATTTAGGTCAACACATGTTGTAGGTATGTAAGTATTAAGAGAGGCAGGTCACATGTCTGAACAGATAGTTGATACAGGTGTAGTGAGTTCAACTGAGTCGCAGACGTACTCTTTGGAGGCAACACATTTATTAACACCAACACACGGGGTTACTGCCCCTTAACATAATAACAACTTATGGTGGTGACCACCAGGCTAACTACACCAGTTACAACGTAATTAGCGTAGTTAACCTGGTGGTGACCACCACGCTAACTACACTAGTTACAACGTAACTGCTACTACAGACCGGGACCGAAGCTTGGGTCCGGGTACACGTGTTGGAGACTCTGTAGGACGTACAACGTAGATTCTTTAGGTTGAACAACAGCCCGCGGTCCCTCCCTGGGACCCGGTTTATATCCTATGTGGCTGGGCTGGCTCCGCCCTTGGCCACGCCCACCTTCTAGAATCCTCGAGCAGGATCTCGACCCTGACACGTGACCACCCTGAGCCCCCACTTGGGGCCCCTGTGTAGACTGAACCGGTCACGTGTCCTTCGGGGTCAACCAGAGTGCCATGGGCCTTTAGTAACCACATTTCCATGGCCGGCACTCTCACACCCTATCCTGTAGGGGTCGGCACTGCACGCAGAGCGTGGTGCCATCCAGCACTGGCAGTCAGCGTTCACCGAGCCCCTCTAGGGCCGGTACTGCACCCACACCATAGCGGTGTCGCGATGTCGCGACACCGCACGCCGTGCCTCTCTGGGGCCGGCATCACACAGTGACATCCCGCGATGTCACTACACAGGTGTAGGTAGTTATTTAGGTGGGTAGATGGGCTGGTATTTATGTGGGTGGCTGGGTAGATAGATCTCCCAACGCAGCACAATCCAGTGGGAAATGTATGTAGTGCAGTGTGCCACGCAAGATGAAGAATTGTATGAATGACTGCAATGTCGGTTGCATGACACCCCCGACGTGAGACTGTAACATAAACCAGGCATGGAATGTGCAGACTCGGCATAGCGAT